TTAATTGTGTACTTTCCAAAGTAGAATTTAATTTGACACTAGTTCAAATAAAGAATACTTTAGGTATCTTCTTGAAGAAGAGACGCTATTAAGAGCGACGATTTTCTTTGTCATTTAACAATGTGAAACGCGAAAGGAACTTGACACGGATTTTGATGTTATCAAATGGGTCACCTTCGTTTCCTCTTCAACTAATAATCTAGTTGTCTGCTCGTTTTAAATTTTAAATCTTTCAATACTCGGTTAAAATATTTCAGTCTTACATTTCGTAAGATGTACCACTGCGTTTTAAATAGAAATCTGCATCAGTTAATAGGTGTCTCCTTATATTTAAAGAAAACGCAATAGATTTATAAGAAATACAACATTTAGTTTATTCTGCGAATTCCTAAGCAATTAATTCCCTAACAATATCGCGAAAACTTTCCAATGTGAATCTACGCTTTCCTCTCTTTCTCTCTCTCTCTCTCTTTCTTTCTCTCTCTCTCTCTCTCTCTCCTCTCTTCTCGAAACAGTATATATTGTCCCATTCGATGTGTTCACAAAAAGTAACGTACGTACGTTCTCAATTTTACATTTTCAAAGCAGAAGCAGATAATGGTCGACGAAAAGGAAATTTGAGGATCGGACTGGAGAAAAAACGAGCGATTGCGCCGGTCGTGGGAAAAAAAGAAAAAGGAAAAAAGTGTGACACGACACCTCTTTTTTTTTAACACCACATTTCTCGAATGATTAATATTAAAACGATATTAATTAATGATCATTACTATCGATTACGAATTAGATAATATAATTATTAATACTAAGTGTACAACCATACGTTTTTTTTTTGTTGCGGGCGTAAGGGTAGAACATCTTGAAGTGTTTTCTTTCCATGTATTTTAGGCTCGTGTTTAATCGGTTCTTGAGTAATTATTCTCTTTCTCTCTCCACACACTCTCTCTCCGATTCTCTCTCTGATTCTTTCTTTCTTTCTCTCGCGAGAGAGAGAGAAAGTTCACACTTTCTCTCTCTCTCTGGTTCACGTTACAGGCACACACTATACACGCGCTCGTTCAATTACGCACCATCCGTTCAAATTCTCTCGAAATATTATTCACGCGATTCAGGGGAAATGGATACGTACTCCGATCGCAGGCACACGTTTTTTTTCCGTCACGCTCATCCGTGTTTCCTTCTTTTCTTTGCCGACTCCTATTCTCTGGCAAAAAAAAATGAAAGAAATAAACAACGAAAACCGTTCGTTTCTCACCCTCATGAAAATCTCTGTTCGAGAGGAGAGCCTCCGGCTTCGAATCGCAATTTATATTACATATTTAATTCAAAAAACCCGCCGCTCTGCTTTCTCTTAACGATGAATTACACCGAGTTTTCTTCCTTATTCTTGTTTATAATCTTAATCGTAAAGATCCTTAACATAACGTGCCCGATTAAGTTTTCTCCTTCCGTGACGGGGAATTATCGTTAAGCTCTCTGCATCTCTCTTTCATAAGATCGTTCAATAAAATAAACTCTAGCGACGAATCATCAGTAATTACATCGTTAATCATACGTATATACATACGCTTTGTTTAGTTTTAATATGTATATAGCGGAGTAAACATTCTTTTTTTTTTCTTTTATATTAGATCTTGAGCGAAGATCAAGCGCGTTTTCATGATACTTTTACAATTGTTTAGCAATTTTTTTTCCATTCATTCATTCTTTCTTTCTTTCTCTCTTTGCCTGTCTCACGACACCTTTCTTCTTCTTCTTATACTACTCAGCGTTTATATCACCGTTGCCTTCGCTCCTCGAGCTTCCATTGTGAAATAGCCGCAAAGTTCTCTTTGCAACGTTGCAACGAACTTAGGCGAAACCGAATCCTTCGCTGCATTCGTGGATTGCCTTCAGCAAATTCGTACGGAGCTTGTCGTACGTTTCGTAAACCGGTAGATCTAGTTGATTAAAACTGAATACACAAACAATACGAATTAGTTAAAATTGTCCAACGTAGCAAAATAGTATCGTGTGTGCCGCTGTTAACCAATCCGGAGCAGATAATTCGTTGTTTCTATTAAATATTTGTTACGATGATTATGTTAGCTCATTTTCTTATCCATTTTGATCAAGTTTCACTTTAAGCAAGAGTCATTTTCTATAGTTCACTTTAGACCGATTATTCGTTCAACTGATTTAAACCAATTATTTATCTGTGTTCAACACGGAAAATCCAAGAGGGGTATTTTTAATATCTTACCATGTATGGGCGGATGGAAGCCTGTCCGTTGATCTGTCCTCACGATGAATTTGAAACTTTTGTACGCCACTCATGCCCTCTAAAGCGGCGAAACCCTGCAGTGGTACCTTCGACGTGCCAGTGACAAATTGTAAGAATTTAGCTCTGTCCGCTTGATCGAAACCTCGCAGTGCTCGCCAGAACCATTGAATCTGAATGTTTCAATTGCCAAAAATAATTATTGGCCGAATTCGTTGGTGAACGGTTATTCCAATTTCTCTAGGAAGAACTTACCTGTAAAGATGTTGCAGTATATTTGTGGTATTCTGTGTTGGCTTTAAGATCCTCTATGTCTACATTCGGTAATCCACTAATTAATAGCTCGAGTTCCTGCTCATTGAATATGGAGATCAGTCGTTTCGGAATAATGTCATAAAAACCTTCTAGGAACGCGTTCAATCTGTAAGAAACGAGACCGTATGATCGAGGTGTCCGAAATATTAAGTGTATAATAAATATACTTTTTGTACGCGATTTCCGAACTTACTGTTTTCGTATTGCTCCAGTCATTTTCATTTGACAAACGAGCCGGATATATTCCAATTTTGTTTCTTCGGTAACGACAATATTACGCCCGTTTGGAATTAAATCTCGTACATCGTTTACACCAAATTCGTTTACCTGTAAATAAATATTATGTTATATATCTGTACATACAATGTAATAATACATCGTGTTTTAATTAGGTGAAAATTTTACCTCCGTGGAAAAGGTTAATTCGTATCCAAGATCGGCGATATTATGCTCCGTGAGGTACACTAAACCTTTGTAAAAACTATAATCCTCGCTTTCCATGTCGGTGTGCTTTACCAATATTCCCAAGATATGCTTGTAAAAGCTGCGCGTGAAATAACATTCCAGAAGCTTGTTGTCGTAAATTGCTTTCGCTGTGAAAACGATGATTCATTGGTTTCTATTTGGACGATCTGCGCTATAGCCAAATCTTCTCCGAAAGGAATTAATTCAAGGCAGAACTTACCGATAACCCGACCGACGAATTTGTAATAACACAAGTGGTTGGGATTGCAATGAGACGAGGAGTTTATCATGTACGTGACTCGGTCTCCAGGACTGACAGTGAACAAAGCATACATCGGATTGAAAATTTCTCTGGAAATAATGACGTACCACTCTCTGAGCAAGCCTCCAGCGTCTTGACCCTCTTCATCTGTAATGCCATCATTGTAGAAACGCGAATGAAGCATGGTCGTTAAAATGTGAAAGTGTGAAACAGTGAGAAAATCTTTACATACTTTCAAAAACGATGTAAAAGCGATTCTTCCACTCGTCGGCATTTCGTCTGTGCAGCTCCCGGAACGAGTCTTCGAATACGTGACTTCTGCGTACATGCACAGCCAGTTCGTCTCTACGAATACCTTCGTCCATTCGTTCCAATTCTGCTCGGAAGTATCGTCTTTTCACGTCGAAGTCGAGGACCCTCGTGTGATCCACCAGCACAGAGAAGGGTCCGTCTGCCAAATGCGTGGTGGTCTGGCGTAGGATTTGATTTAGAACAGTCCTGTGCGTTTCTACGATAACAAATGAGTACGTTTAGGCTTCCCACTTAGTTCGAAATGCGTATCCGACAATATAATCGTCGGTATCACCGAGTATCTCCGTACCAGCAAATTTGAGGAACTTGACTTGGTCGGGTGGCAGTGTCTTCTGAGGAGGCGGTGCCATGTCCCAGGAAGTGTTGATTGTAGCTTCCGATTGGGAGGTGCCCTCATTGTCCGAATATATCGGCGACACTGGCGCAAGATCTGGTACAACCTCTCGAGTTTCTGCATTCGCGTTCAATTGACGTTCGCGGGAAGTACTCGACGATGAGTGAATCAGGAAAAAGGCTTCCACCGCAGGCTATGAAAACATTTTAGGGTTAACGACAAGGGTTAATGACAACTTTGAAATCTAGTCTTTACCTGTAAAACTAAGACAGCATGATGATCCGGAGTGTATTCCAATTCTAACAAGCAGGCGCTGAGTGTTTCCCACAAATGATCCAACACTAAACATTCGCTCAACAACGGAAGTTTTTCTTCACCATCGGATGCAGTCGCAGGCTTAACAGTCTCAGGCTGTGGTGGATTTGCTTGTGTCGTGTCCATTGGTACATCACCGTCTGCATTACTGTCTCCTTCGTCCGGAGCTTGGTTTGTACTTGCAGCGTCACCGGTACCTTCTGTAGTTTGATTGGCTGTCTTCTTGGTGTTTGCTAAACGTACAGCCTCTCTTATCTGCACTATTACTTTAAGTATTCTCAAGAAGAATGCCTGACTAGAAGTTTTGCTGACAAGGGCAACCATTGATGGTAGTTGAAGGTCACTTCCAGCTTTAACTTTGTTCGGTGCAGTAACAACTACGCTTTCGTTTGTAAACCTGTCCAAGAGTATTCCTCGGGAACTTCCAGTACTGGTCGAAGGTTGCTCGTCGATCGAATTTCTCCTTAGTTCACGGTTCAAAACCTTGAGCTCCATCATTAAATCGTTTATATGTTCGCAAACCATGTTAGCCAGTTCCATGGCACCCTCCATTAGTAATTTTAATATCAATTGCCTAGTGGGGTCCGGGCAGTGAGACAAATTAAGCAGCAGGGCAGTCGCGTCTTCTAGCCCCTCCTCGGAACAACTTTTGCTAGTTAGAACTTGTACAGCCAGTTTCAGATGCTCCTCGGGTGCGGCGACACTGTGCTCCTTGCTGATTTCGGTCTTTTTATTTTTATTCCCTTCTTGTCTATGGTATGGGTTCACTTCCGTCAGCCCGATCGAGATCAACGACAACAGTCTCAATAATTTATCTGTCAGCTGACTACTACGTTTGATAACCGACCAATTCAGCATAGAAATCAATTGACCAAAGGCCGAAGCTTCGAAGGTAGTTATACTATGTTCTGGTTCGTTTCCAAGATTTGAATTCGAATGAGTTCTAGCGACCGATTTTCCTTTCTTCGAGGCACACGAGTCTAGCTTTAACAACATATCCCAGAAGTCAGGTTGGTCGCTTTTCCCTTGTTTCGAGGCGAACTTGTTCTTTGAACAAGCTTCTTCTTTATTACTCGAATCCTTTTCTCTGGTGGCTTCCTTTTCTTCCGACTCTTTCGGTTTGATTGGCACGAAAAATCCTGGAAATCCTTTAGCCAATGCTATCAGTAAGTCTAACGTGTGCCTGTAAAAGTCACAAACAATCGTATTCATATGTTACAATTCTGGACACGTTTATTATTCGATGAAAGATTGAAATTTAAGAAACTCACTTGCAGACTGTGGGTGCAGCTTGCGGATGAATAGCGATACTGCTACCTTGTCTTTCGGACTTCTTCCCACCGTATCTGACTATATGGAAAACATTCGCTCTACAACCAAGCGCAGCATCGATGCTGATGTTCAGCCACGATTGCGCATTGTTTCTTTGGTCCACAATCTTGGGAGAACTGAAATACAAATGGTAATTTAAAATACCGTTGCGTATCAGCGAGATCTGGCTTCAGAAATGCTAGAAAGCCTTTTAACCAACAACTACGTTAATCAATATTTTACCAGTAATCCATCGAGGGCATCAAGCTTTTTCTTTTGTATTTGCCACCGAAATCCGCGGCAATATCTTTGTTCTCGTCATTGCTTCGTTCCATGATGCTCAGCAAGACTTTAACCACCCATTCCCTGGTGCTACCGTGATAGCAGATGTTTCTGATAACTCTATGAAATCTTAATGTATTAATTTTTGGTTCATCGACGAACAAAAGTATCAATAAACACGCCATCGACTCATGGTCCAACAGCTGCCTGCCTCGAAGCCGAAGACCGGCGGCTGGATGCGTTATAGTACTTTCGCCGCGCATCAAGGGATCCCACTGACTTCTTTGTGCCACCGCTTGAATCGCGTAACGCGTGGGTCTGCCTATTAATCGTAACGTTTCATTTTAATATCGACGGGCAAGGTTAAATTTAATGCGTTACAAATAGAAATTATTTATTACCTCTACCAGACTGCCTCAATATAGTGGATAAGGTAGCATTTCCTTGGCTAACGTGACTAAGGAATCGTTCCTGGATAAGATGTCGGTTTCTTGCTTCCCATTCTCTTCGAAGATTTTGAGCTTCTTGTGCTAGATCCGGCGGAAGAACAGATATCTGGGACTCCTCCATGTCGGTCAAAATCTAAATGTATCGAATCAAAATATGAGTGAGTATACGTCTGAGTAGATGCAATAGCGAAATAAATTATTTGATTATTCGATGATTTACAGCTTGTCTTAAAGAAGGCTGCAAATTCTGGAAAAAGGCGGCCGCGTCGACCGGATCGTCAGGATTGGCAGAGGCAGCCGCGTGCCGTTGCTGTTCCAAACGTTGCTGCGCGAGAACCTCTTCCTGAATTGCCGGTGGCAGAGCAGCCAAAAATTCGGGATTTACTTCGACCGGTCCAGTCAATTCGGCAACTACGGCTGCTTGAGTGCCTTGTCGAATTCGTTGAAGTCTGCAACAACGAACGATTGATATTTGTAACTTTCGAATCAACAACACTAAATTTCCTTCAAGCGTTAATGAGATTGTACAGAAATACAACGTACCTGAGCTGTTCGGCTATGACCTCGTCCCGCATATCCTCCGGCAAAGCAGCCAAAAAGGATGGGTCGACACCATCAGGCAACTGTTGCTCCTGAGGTTGTTGCGATTGCGATTGCTGCGTTTGTTGCTGAGATTGATTCGGTTGATCTAGTTGCGGCTGTTGCTGCTGCTGTTGAGAAGACTGCTGCTGTTGATGTTGCGGCTGTTGTTGTTCTGATTGCTCTGGATTAATGTTTTCTGACGCTGAAGTGGCAGGATCTTGATTGAGTACATTTGCATTTCGTTCAATATTCGATTGACTGTCATCGGTTAAAAGCGTTCTGATCCAGTCAGACGAGTCACTTTCTCTTAACAAGTCTTCATTACCTTCTTGACTAAAATCAACTAGTATGGTTGTGTTCGTTCGACTAGACGTCTCGTTGGCGTCCGATGATGCGGCGGGCCGATCCGACTGTCTTAGTCTACTAGCTTCGGAAGCGCTAGGGCCGAGCACAGAATCGACGATACTTTCAGCCAGCTCCAACGTGGAGTTTCTATTGCTTATTCGAGGATCCCTGGCTTCCGAGGACACCACTTCCTCGTGTAGTGGGGGCGGCGGTGGTCGCTCCTCATCTTCTTGCACCGTTACTTCCATCTCACCAGTTACGTCTATTATATCCTCGTCAGGAGTTCGTTCCTGCTGTGACGCTTGGATCGCAGCTCCGAAAGCGGCGACGTTGCTCACCTGCTCTCTTTGAGACGTTGACGCCGTCGATATTTGTTCTTCTATCGGAACTGCTGTGGAAGAACCCGCTGAAACATCGTGTTTTATAATAGAGACAACATCACGACGACAAGGCGTATATCTCATACATGACAGAACAAAACAAAACAGTCAACATACATTCCGTGTTGTTCAGATGGTCCTTCTCATCTTTGCCATCCTTTTCACCCTTTTTCTCAGAATTGTGTTGCTTCTTACGTCTCTCTTTCCGTTCTGCGATTTCATCCTCCCGGTGTTTCGTCAGATTAGGAATAAGTTTGAACACGACACCTGTAATGGAACATTTCAATACACTGTTCCGCAACGATAGGAGCGGCGAACCTTTGAACAACTTCTAATAAATACCATCGCAGCAGTCTGCCTGGGAATCCCCGTCTAACAATTTGCTCTCTTCGATCCACCAGTGTAAAACTGTTGGAATGTTATTCAATGTAGCTGCTAGGCTTGGTCCAAAGAGATAACCAGATTGATCCTGAAAGTATTACGTATGTTTGGTAATTGAAAATATATTGTATATAATATTATTATAATATTATATATAATATAATATATAATATTTCATAGAGTCAAACGGCTTGTAGTGTCATTCAGTTTTGGTACAAACCACAAAGTCTATTTGTTCTTCTTCTTGATTGGTAAAGATTCCAAGATTCTCCATTACAACGACACGTGTGTCGCGGAAACTGGAAGCTAGAACTTGACTGGCAGACAAGGGAATCCCTTGTGCACTCGCCGATCCCAAAAGCCTGCAATTATAAATTGTAACGTACGATTTGTGAAATTGAACTTGTAATTTAGTCGAAAGAATCGATATATCGTATAGAATATTCATTCCGAATTGATTCACCTTTGTAAGATCACTGGCGGATTTTGATTTCTTGGATTCTGCAATTGAAGAAATTGATATCTCCGTTGTCTCATTAAAGCTCTTTGAGCGCTTATATATGAACCATCCAAACCGTTTTGTGGTATCAACAACGGATGGGAATTCATGCCTAAAGAGAGAAATCGTTGCCGATTAATATGATTCTGAATTATTTATCAATTGTATGTCACATCGATTTTGTACGTTAGTTTTTCAATGTACCATTGCCTTCTGAAACCGAAGGTGAGTCTTCGAAGAGCCCTAGAGGTAGAGGGAACGTCGTAGTCCATGGAAGACTAGGCAACGGTGTAATAGGTGTAGAGGTACTTGAAAAGTTATCCTGATTGTCGATGTTATGTTGAATCATTACAACATTACTTCCGTCACGTTCTGTTGGCGGGAACATTCTAAAGACACCGTTTTCAACGTCTTCGTAAAATTCTATTCCATCCTCCTCGTAATTCGACCCTTCCTCCTCTTCCTCCTCTTCCTCTTCATTTTCCTCGCCTAATACAATAAATTCGTTCAAATATCTTCTATATGTATACTATACTCTATATTATTCTATATTAAAATATTGGCATCGATAATATAACCTTGTTCAGTTCTAATCAAATTACCGTCATCTTCTTCTTCCTCCTCCTCATCTTCATCGTCCTGTACTTCGTCCTCGTTGTCATCGGAAGGATTGCTATCGGATTCGGAATCAGAGCTCATCAAATCCTCCTGAAATATGCAACATCCCGTTAGATATTCAAAAGGAGAAAATCAAGCAATGTAGATGAAAAAACATGAAAATCACTTTGTTTTATAAACACGTGTATTCTATATACTATTTTTGCATATGTTTATATGAAAAGGTACTATTTATTGTTCGATAAGTTTTGTTAACTCGATCACTGTATTATAGCAACAAGAATCTTAAATAATACATAGCTACAGAAACTAACAAAGTGCTTTCAAAGCAGACACAAATTGATCATTTACGTTAGGTATTGATGAAAAAAGCGATGTTACTCTTACTGTGGTGTCTCGTGTAGGATCAAAGTCAGTTTCACCATCGCGTATCACGAGACTTTCATCATCGATGTCCATTGGCCTGTGCGGCCGAGAAGATTGTTCTTCGGCCACGGCTGAGCCGTCCCTGGGAAACAATACACTACTTGATTATAAGTACTGCAGCTTATATGCACTCGAATCAGTAATATATATATGTATATATGTATACGTTTATAAATTCAGATAAATTTGAAATTCATTTTAAATCATTTTTATATGATTACCTATCGAGCAGCTGATCCATGATGTCGTCTAGAGCAGCTTCATCGCCCTCCTCGTGCACTTGGCTCTCCGAGGTAGGCTCTAAACTCTCGGCAGTAACTGATATATCGTGCTCGGTGTTCTCCGCATCCTCGTTCGCTTCTTCGCCGACAGCATGAGTTGCTTCGGATGTGGTGGTACCGGTTTGTTCTCCGATTGGCTCCTCTTGGACAGTTCTGTTCTTCGGCTTCGAAAATTTATTATTTACGGATCCTGGCATTGGTTGATTTATGATTCTAGAAAGTGTCTCGAGTGGTTTCAAGGCAGCATTGATAGTGGCCGCCATGTTAGGGCTGGAAAGGTCAAGACTATGCGGGATTTTGGCCAAGTCGGTGATTATTCCCTTCCTCAACATGATCCTCACAATATAATTCACGTTGTTGTATTGGTGGGTCTTCAAGGAGGTTCTCAGATGATTGTGTAAGGTCGGCGGGCAACTGTCGATCATGGTAGAGATCAGACCGATCAGTAACTGAAGCTGCGTGTGCTTCTCGGAGCTTTCCGGAAGCGCCAAAGTCCTCGTCAGCGCAGCTTTCACCTCCGTGACCAGGGTAGTTTGAACATCCGGCGAATGATTACAGGAGGCGATAGCAGCTATCAACATCTTCGCGGTGTGGCCAATAGTGTTGCTGCACTGTCTGTCGCTCGAATTCTCTGGCACCATTGGCAGGAGCTTGTCAAGAAGAAAGGCGAGCGCCGTCGTGTCCTCCGTTACCATTTCACTTTGACCGGCTACGTACACGTGTTCTGTGATCAAGTCAGCGATACCATTATATGAACGAACTGCTTCTGCGAGAATCTTCAGAATCGCAGATTTTGTCAGCAGTGGCTTCTTCGCTTCCTCCGGCTCGACTTTGCCATTATTGCCAATATCTGGATAAATCTTCAGCGAGATTATCTGGGACACCTGGTCGTCGTCATCCATAGGATCATTCGTGGTGGTTGCGTTGTTTCTGAATACGTCGCGTCTGGACGATGTTGTAGCCGTAGTGGAACTTGCATGAGGATTCTTTTTCTCCGGACTTCCGGTAGGCGTCGCAGCGTTGTCGTCTGGAAGAATCGGCATAGGCTTTATGAGAGCATTCAGCAAGTCCTGTATCACGGACACCGACACCTCCGATACTTCTTCCATAGGCGTGTTTTGCGGTTGACTCGGTGGCAGAGCTTTCACAACCAGTCTATGATCAAAGTCGCGTCTCAACAGACTAACATCCACTCTTAAAATATTCTCGCAGACCTCTCGGTAAACTTCCGGATTACGGCAAACCGCGCTGCTTATTTGCCGCGTCATAAATAAAATTTCTTTGTACGGCGGTGGTATGTTGCCCTGCGTACGAGTCCGAATAACCTTCTCCATGGCTTGACGAAGGGTGTTTGTATCCTCCAAGGTATGTCGAATCAACAAAGTGCTTAGACTGATGCATCCGATGAAGCTGCTCGCCTGTGTCATTTCCAGCAACAGTTTGACGCCGCCTTCGCGCGCGAAAATTGCAGCGTTCTCATAATCTCTCGTCAGTCTTAGACAGACCTTCATTAATGCATGCAACGCGTCCCGGTCCACTGGGATCGCCAACAGCTTGACGCAAGTACGAATAATGCTTACAATCACACTAGGGTGCAGTCCTTGAACGAAATTGTTCCTTTTCTCGTCCATTGGACTATAATCGTTGACCGCGCGCAATTTAAAGTTCATTGCTATCGGCCTCCTGTTGTCGCTCTCCTCGTTCACTTGCGTCATAGACGAAAATGTGATCAAGTATCTTCGCCGACTGCACGAGATCCTTACGTTCGGCTCCCCGGCCCAGTAAGCTTCATTTATTATTCGATTATTTATCGGAGAGTATATTGTCCATTCACCTGTATGTAAATCGAACCACTTCCAAACTCTGCGCGTAACCTGTTTCGAATAAACATCATAATTTTTCGGTTTCTTACGTTTCTTCCGTCGTACAATAAAATGGAATACAACAGAATAGAATAGCATATAATAGGACAACAATAGGTTAGAATAGAAATCAATCGGTTCTGCGTACCTTGTGCATCATCAACTTCCTCCGTGTGGATATAGCTACTTTTTCCAAACGATCTATTAGGAGAAGGAGTGGCGCGAGCCATTTCGGCGTTCTTGTTGTTGCTGCCCCGTCTTTACTATCTTTGGAAACTTTGTTCTTGTTCGCGGTAAGTGGTCCTTCGCTTACTATCAACAAACGAACAAGAAGATCCGAGACACCGCACTCCTTCACGATTTGAGCACACGATACTCTCATCTCTTGCAATGTTCCCTACAAAAATAAAACACAGATCAATAATAAACAACAAATAACTCGAATCGAATTGTTATATATTTCTTGCATGTATGTATTACATTTATAACCTGTACATATACGTACCTCGAAAAATAGGGTATAGAGATAAATACGTCCAGCAACTTTGTTGGCTTCTTCGCATTCGACTAATCGCGTGCCAGCGTTTGGATCGTTGCTCTTAGCAATGTCAATTAAATAATCTACTAGACTACCAATCTGTAATAATTAATAATAAGTAACATCGATAATAGCATCGAAGATATTACACGAAAATACCATGTCTGAACAATCCTTACTTCTTTTATAAGTTGCAGCAACATGTTGTCACGCCACTCGTCACCATTTCTCTTTGTAATGGTAACTAGTAAATCGCATATCCTGTAGACAGTGTCAGGCATGAGATCTAATAGGTTCAAACACTGGCTTAAAGCAGTGTTTGTGAATTCATCTATACTGCTAGTTATAGTAGGTTCGCAAATAAGCTCCTCGGGGAATTTTTCTAGACCAGACGCTTTTCGCGTCTCTGTTTCGCCCAATGACATAGCTACGGCGTGCATTAGTTCATCGTCGATTATTTCCAAGTCCATAATAAGACCTTGGTAACTCGCATCCCCGGCTGGTACGTCCTGTACGAAGTCATAAATCAAAATTATATTTTATCTTATAAAATTTGTCTTTTAAAAAACAGAAAAAAAATTGATATTTGATTTGTTTATATATATACCGATCTACGTAATGTGGCAGGATTGGTGAGAAGATAATCTGTGGCTTGTTCGACGGTCAATGTATGGCTCAAAGCTTCGATACAATGAGCGCGGCTGAATCCCATATCCATCAGCTGTCTAAGATGTTCTTGGTTCACATCCGATTCTGGTTCTTCCCTACGGTCAGACATTGCCGCACCTCTTCCGATTCCACTAGTACCGCTGGTGCTACCAGTAATAGCTCCTTCGCTGTTCTCCTCTTTCTCTGTACGTTCCTGTGTCGCAACATTTATTTCAAATATCTAATTTTAGTAAACTGTTCGTGCGAATCCTAATTATTGTTGAATTCCAATACCTATTGCTACTTATAATCGTACATGATAAGTATATCGTACCTTAATAATTTTTTCACCCCTTAAAATATGTCGTAAAATCGACAAAATTGATTCGGTCATACGTGCACCGTAATTTTTCAAAGGTTTTTTACCCCACATAAGCATCACTGCATGAAAGGCTTTCTGTAATGTTAATCGATTCAGTTAATAACATTGATAATCTGTTCGAGTAGAATTACACTGTACGCATTGTTGTAAACGTTTCCGGACCTTGTGAATATTGGTGAGGTACTTGATCGGATCAAACTCATACATCTTGTAGATCCCAGTACACTTCGACGAAACGAGATGGGGGGAATCCAAAATAGCTTTAGGATTGACCATTTTCTCCAGTAGCATGAGCCACGCGTCCAAAAATTCCCCTGTGCCATCAGGCAAGTTGGGGTGTTCTAAACCCTCCGATGCAGGAAACTGTCCGCCTCCAGACAGTGCCCAATGGAAAGTACTGTAAAAAAACAAAAGCGTTGTTATTACCTTTCGAAATTTTTTCGAATAAATATCAAGGATAAATATTTGACTGAAGAGATTCACTTACTGAAAAAATGCGTATTGTCCGCCTTGTCTAACAAATTTTTGAAGCATCAAATGGTACGGATGCCTCTTTTCATCGAATAACATCGGAGACGTAAAACCTACAGAGCATATCAAGAATGTCAACTTAAATTTCGGTATCGGAGACGGGGGCAATATATCCCACGTCAATCCACGAATCAATAAACAGTTCAAGGCAGTCGCCACGCTTCCAGCTGCTTGCGAAGGAAGAACCGGTGTCAGAGGCATCTGTTGTCCTCTGCGTTGCCTTCCTGGAGAACCCATGCAAAGCTGAATAGATTTAAATCAAAAGAATTCATCAATTAGTATACACGTCTTCGAAAGTTTTCGTTAACCCTCGTCTGGCGAATGCAGGATCAAACCGGAGCCACTTTTGTACAAACGTGTGTATAATTGTCCATTGCTGGAAAGAACGAATGGTCCGAATGAATTGCATTCGTCAGTTGCTACGGAATACGTCGTTCGAGGGTTGATAAGAAAGATCAGATGAATAATAAATAGAGAAAACACTAAAAATTTCCAAACGAAGATGTTAAGTACCTTCACAAGCAGACCAAACAGTTCGGCCAGTGCCCTGCCTAATCTAGACGAAGCTCCTAACAAAGGTTTGATGTACTTGAGCTGATATGAACTCGGTGAAACTCTTCCTGCGCTGGCACTCGGCTTGTTGTCATCCACCTACAAGCAACGGAAACGTCCGAATGAAATCGAAAGATGAACAGAATTTTTGTGTTTTATGTACTTGAAACATGTCTTGGTTGCATAATATTATACATGACTAGTTGTTAAAATTCATAATTTTTGTACCTCCATGGGTACAGGTGGTGGATCTGTACTCAAGGCTTCCATGGCTGTGGTCATTCCATTACTCCCCATGTCTGAGGATACACCACCTGACCAGCCAGAAGTTTCGGCATCGTTCTAGTTCATTAATTTGAAACAACATGTCAGAGATCGTTCCAACACTGATTAAAAACTAAGACTTAGCATTATCTAAGTACACCAAAAGAAAAAACAAATGATTGTCGATCTTTCTACTAGACGGGAACGTGAGAAAAAACGTGCAACTCAACACAACGATTAAAAATTAAAATCCAATCTAGTCTACAATGTAGAATATAAACGTAGAAACCAAATCAGCTCTTTTACATAATTTCCCTTTTTTTCGTACAGATGAACAAGCATACCTTTAACTCCGGTGGCACCAGTTTATCCATGTCTTCTTTCCCGAAGTCACATCCTGCTGGTATACTGTCCTCGCTGCACAGTGCTAGCAACAGCGTGCTCTCCCAAACCAACGACATGTACAACTCGGAGAGACCTTTCAGAACCGCCAAACCGAGACCCGAACCCCAGTGGTTCATAGAAAAGTTTCTCACTTCGCTTTGGCTGGTTCGACACACGTGTACGAACATCACCACGTATCCATGCGCGGCGTTCATAGCGTGAAGCAACGGCGTTGCCGTGTCGCTCGTGAAAGCTGTCTCTAAATTTGGAGCAGACGCGAGTTCGTGCAACAGTACAGAACCTCCGGGCGTGTCCGTGTGGTTGTGGAGTGGTTTCAGCAGATTCAATACTTCGTTCAATTGCGAAAGACCTGTTTTCAGAACTGACGGTTCATGCGCGAGGTTCTGAAAGTAAAGTCAACAGATTAGATTCTGTCGAGATCTTTGAATATTTCTTTCCGCTTCTTTGTCAGAAACGATGTCCTAATAACGGATACATACCAAAATACTTTTACAAACTGTCGCTACGGACTGTGCTGCCTGAGCGACTGGATAATCCACTGGAAGATTAGGCAAGCCTAGGATGGATAGCAACGGTACTAAACCCTTCTGAGCGACAAACTCTCTGCAGTGATCGTCCGTGGAATTGTTACTAAGAATGGCGTCAACGAATTTCATAACGTTGTGTATGTATTCGACCAAAGCAATCGGTGTCTTCTCTCGTGGCTGCGGAGGCGGCCCGGGCTGAGCCGGCGACGGTGAAGGCTGCTCCTCGCGCTGAGGATGAGAGCTCGTGCTCGCTTCCTCTTCGTCCTCCTCTTCTTCGTCGCTACTACTACCACCGCCGCCGCCGCCTCCGCCACGAGAATCTCCGACTCCAACTCCGACAGACTGACCAGAAGACTGACGGCTACCGGAGGCTGAGTTCGACGGTGAATTGTCGGATTTACTTGCAGCCCGTAGACATACGTATCGAGGGTCACAGCCCAAGACACATAGTTTTTCAAGCAACTAAACAACGCATTTCCAAACATTTCCATTAAAAATAAATCATTATTTCGACGATTAACACGTTTAAGTGGACTATATAATAAGCTATATGTAATAGGCTACATATATAAGGCTATATAATAGGCTATATATAATAAGCTATATATAAGCTATATATAATAAGCTTGTCGTCATTTTCATTTAAATTTAGAATTATTTCATTAAAATTTCCAAAATCCACTTAAAGGTTAAACAATCCAATAGTATATGAATTATAAATATGAGTGCATGCAGGTATTGGAAAGACATACTTTTATGATGGCAGCGATTGCGTCCACTTTCAGACCCGGTTGGTGTCTCATCAATTCGTCCATCGCGTTTCCCAAATTGGTAGCTGTATCGCCCAGGGGATCCGCGCTTCGACGTCTTCTCATTGCGGAGAGGTAGATCGGCGATAGCAATACTTTAAACAACCGGCCGAATGGTCGTCGTTTCACGAACGATTCTAATCCGCGTTGATTCAAGCATAGAGCACTGAACACGTTAGGTAATGAACCTAGAACTTCTCTAGTTGCAGGAACCTGTATAGAATTGACGTTAATGCATTAATTCTTAGACTCGTTAATTGTTGTTGAAGTACAATCCCGTTCCTGTAACAGAGTCTATTTATGTTATATCTGTTGACTTACTTCTTTGATAAGTAGAGCATGCAGTACGATATCAGTCAATCCGTTATCCTGCAGGGAAGACAGGAACGACGGTTCTTGGAAAACGTAGACTGTTACGACATCCGTGGCAAGCAGGAACAGCGAAGGCCCGTAATACTCGGAATTGCTGATAATGTGTTTCAAAGACGACGGCAAGGTACCCTCCATAATGTGTCTGATACTGTCCGAGAAGTGCGGATCTTGGATGGTTTTCTTTACAAAATTCAACATTGATTTGAGAAGCGCAGCTCGCTGTGGCAGACACGTCTTTCCGGTCTTCATGGCAGAATAATCTGGTATTTGTTCGTTTTTGTTCTCCGTCTTAGAGGTCATGTTTTCGTCCTCCGAGAACTCCATTGGATTCGAAGATTCCTCGCGTTCGTCGTAGGGCTCGTTCAACCGTCGCGACGACGTGGATTCCTCGTCCCTTTCTACGGATCTTTCGCGAGACGATTGTGGATTATCAGGATAAGTGTACGGTTCGATTTCGAACGGTTGTTCTTTTCTGCAAACGTTCACTTCCATATCGATGCGATTGATAAAACTCGCTAGGCCATTATGTGCTTGAAATACTTGCATGTCTATATTCGTCATCAAATCTATCACGCGAACTGCTCTGGTACCGAACTGAAACATACAACGATTATTAAAGCCGGTCAGAGTCAGTCAGAGTCAATTATTATAAAGAACAAAAGTGGACAGAAAGGGATAGGAATATTTATCGACGAAACTAAAGATGGGTCTTACCGTTATATGCTCCAGCTCGGTTCCTGGCCAATTCATGATTTTTAACAAGCTCTCCATCATACCGCAACTAATAAGAGCTTCGCCTCCAGCTTCATAGCTAGACAAGTGATAAAGAAAGCTAAACAATGCTGTCGCGAGTTGCAACGGAAATGGTGGCCCATCCGGTGGTGGAGAAGTTAATTGTGAAATACATGTGCGAATCGATACGGGAAAAAATCCGTGATACGAACTTGCACCGGTAACGTCGATTATCATGTTTAACCTTGAGCCAGGTTTTCTGAAAAGGTAATTAGTAATTACATTTTAATTAACAAAGTTGTTGTCATAAAAATCCGAAAACATTTCTAAAGGATCGAGAGTTTTTTCGTACTTGGGAAAATGTGGATTGCGATCCAAGTGAATGATACTAGTAAGAGTCCGCAATGCCGCAGCACGCATTTCAACAAGGTGTGCATGTGGAAGTTCCATTAATTCAACTAATTCTTCTAAAAGCCCAGCATGAAGCAAACTATCCGCATTCTCCTGAAGTGCATTACTATATACAAGTACCGACAATGCTTGCAGCCGAGCTTGCACACATTGCAAGCGTCTTCGGTAATCGGAAAAACTGTGTGCCAGTCTTATGTGAGTGAAAAGCGCCATCTGTAAATACAAATTTATGTGCTCGTTTGCGCGTTCTCGTCGTTTCTTCTATCACTTTTACTATTTCTACGATTTTACTGTTACCAGTGTATTTACCTGTCGATCTTGAGGTACGTTATAAACTTTCAACAAATCATTCATTATTTGTGCCGGTGTTTTACCAAGTTTATCCACATTCTCGATGTGTATATATGTTACAAAATTTGTTTGTCCAATCTTTTTGGTACCAGCACTTTGCGTGGCACCTGATACATCAGTGGTTGGGTTTTCAGCATAGAACTCGAAGTGTAAAGTTGTAGCACTTGCTGGAAGGGGCTGAAACACGAACAATTAGAAATAGTATTACCATACATATTGTATATTGGATCGAAGGTTCTCAACGTTAATCTAACAAAATGTTTCTGCAAAACTTTTAATTACCTTATCTGGGAATTCTTTACAACATTCTGCCAAACCAAATCCATTTTCTTTACCACCCCAGCTCTAAAATGGTAAAATATTTGTTAAGTATGCAGATTTTGTAGTTACTACTTAAATTATGTTGTTGAAAAGCACAAACCTCAGCCAAGTGATTGAGTCTGCTTATTAGAGCTTGTCTTTTGTCGCTATTTAAACGAGTAATAAAATTACTACGTTTACTAAACATGTAAAGAAGATTTAGGACACCAAGAACAACGTGCATATCACAACTCGATAACAAGGACACCAGATGCTCCATACTGTTGTACAAATGTCGTGAGAATGAGTGTTCAATCAATAATGTGGTGAAGTGAAGGATCCATAATAGAAGTTCTTTAGCCTGTTTCGAATGAAAATACAAAATGAATTTACACGATCTAGTTAGAGTTTTATACAACTCTATAAAATTATCAGCATTAATTATACCTCTCTGTTCTGGGGGAGATCACAGGCCAATTCCCATGGATTATCTGGACTCCTTGCTGCCGCCTCTTCTAAAATACTGTCATTAAGATCTAATACATCGATCCAATGGAACAGTTCGCATTTTCCAAAGGTCCATGCATCTATCTGCTTCAGCTCCTCCAGCAATTCTGCATGGGAGCATGAGCGCAGTTTGTTTATGAGGGCCTGACATTCTGCCGGCTAAAATTTGAAGTGATATTCTTTGTTAAAACAATATTCAATGTACGTAAAACTATCGACTCGACGATTAACAGAGTATTGCTTACCGCCTCAGAAATGCACTTTTTTAATCTGCTTCTGTCAATTTTCATTTTAGCAGATGAAAGCTTCCTTTATAATTTCAAGATCTGAAATAATTATAATCTATTATGGATGAATCAAAATTATATCTAAAATTTTCATAAGGTTTGTTCACCTTGTGTTCGACTTAAAAATAAGAAATAATAATTGATTACGTAAATAATTAAATAAACACTGCACAAACTATCGCATTATAATATTTGTATGCGTTCTTCAATGTAAAAAGTTCTATTTGCATTCAAACCTAACCAAAAATATTCAAATGTTCCATACTTGGTTTACAAAGATAACACAGTTCCTACAAATACACTAATTGTTCGCCATAAAAACCTGCAAAACGATTCTGCAAATAAACTCGCTAACATCTTATTAACAAAACGAAATAGCGATAGAAAAAAAGTGTTTCCATAGATGACTGATTTCACTTGGGTAGAGATTATCTTTAGCATAACCAAGTTATAAATTATTTGTATCGATTTATTCCGCGAATATGTTGGAGCAAACCAACGCTTTCGGAACAACATAAATTATCTTCCATTTAATCGATGAATCAAAGATCGTACCGTCTATCGAAAATAGGAAATAACGGTGTACGAATGTGCTCGTGTACGTATTCTCTACTACACGGTGAAAAAAAAAATGAGGAATCCTTATTGGTTAAAAAATGAATTGCATCATAGGCACGATATGTTGCGACATGATATACATTCGCCTGTTTACCAGACAATTTTTCGGTCATGCACTTCCCCCATTTAAGTAGAAATAAATCTAAATAGTAATCTTTCGGAGCGTTTTACCTTGCAGCGCAGTTAGATACGATATAATACGTGCTGGTACAAATATTATCGTATAATTCGAAATCGAAATTAAGATCGAAATCGAAATCGCAATCGAAATTGCAGTCGCAATCGAGGTCGAGATCGAAATTGAAATCGAAATTGCAATCGAAATCGAGAATGAAGATCGACGTTAAAATCGAAATCGAAATAATTCAATCGTTCGTTCCGATTAATATGTTGAACTCGAGAAACCACGATAAAGCATATCGTCGACGTCGCGGATAAGTTATTTTAAAAAGGCTGCGTACGGAAATGCATCGGTGACCTCGACCGACAAAAAAGAGCAGGATAAATAAGGAGTGCTTCCATGAAAAGCGTAAGAAAGCTCCTCGAGTGTCTCCGCGTTACTTCTCGTTGTTCTTCTTCCGTAGAGAACCGTTAGAAGGGCAACAGGAATGAAAACAGTCTCGATACACGGATACTCCGTTAAGATGCAGAGTCATCGGTTTCAGAAGCCTAACCTAACTTGGACGTCGCTCTCTTGAAATGCACAAAATAACAACAACGGGGTAGACGAGAATAAGGAATGATTTCATGGTGAAATCCCGATCGCGGCTGACAAATCGTTCGGGCGGTATAGTCACGATGAAAGAATTAGGGGAATCGTGATACAAAGAAAACGCATGCATAAATCGGACAGGTGTAGAATCGACGGATACACGCTCGTGGCAAAAAAAAGAAAAAAGGAGCAGAAGTATCGGAAAAAATAAAAAGATTCGGAAAAATTCGAAAGAGTATTCGAACGATTGATAAAATTCGTGAAAATTTGAAAAAAAAATCGTGATAGCAAAGAGAGGCTCACCTACAAATAAGCCGACCAGGATTCGATAGAGTTGTCCTTGTCGTTCGGCCGTTCGACAAACGCGAGGTTGGAACGATGCGGCATCGCGGTCGTTGCAAACCGTTCCGTTGGTGGTTCTAACCACCTCGATCGTCCTCCGGTCCGATAATGATACACACGCGAATTATATTTCTCCGATAGGACGCCGTCCAAGATTTTCCCGTAGTTATGGTTAAAAACAAGGAGAGGGGCAGCGGGGCTGGGGGGACAGAGAGGGGACGAGAGGGAACGAAAGCAAAATGATCGCGCGAGAGGATGACCGCGAATCGACCGGTCCGAATCGAGGATATCTCTGCGACTGAATCAAAACAAAATTCGCGGGGAGCGTGAACGTGAGACGCGATCCTCTTCTATCGGTTAGCGCCAATCGAAGTACCGATCACCGCCATTTTACCGAGGCTTTCCAAGGAGGATCGTCCACCTTTCCCTTTTAACCTTTTCGTGTCGTGCCGTTTGTTACGAGCCGAGCGGAAGCTTCTCGAACAATCGTACGAATGTTCACGACCTTCGGATGTAACACCGCGCCGCGACACACGGCACAATGCACACGACACACGGCACACAATATCCCCCGAGGACACACACTCGTCGCGAACGATTTTTACTGCGCCAAGTGCACCGCACTGGCTGCCCGTGTACACGCGCTCATATATCTGTTCACTGTCGAGATTGAAGGATCGGACAAAAGGCAACACACACAATCGCCAAAACCACACTGTTAACTGCTTCGCATCTTTCGACGAGACGTGCCCTTCTCGAAACGGTACGCTCGCATTCTATTCTCGCTGCGCAACACGGAGACTCTGTAGTGGCGAGAACGTTGTCCTACTACATATACGGCGATTTTTCTGATTCGTTCGTCGCCGAGATACACTCCGTCTGATAGGACGCCTCGTAACCATCCGCGCACCGTTCTTCATTATCCATCGAACGAACACGCGTCTATAGAAGCGCCTTTCAGGGTCGCGACGTCAGTACCGGAATGCTTGTTGTGAACCAGGCCCGAGGCTCGCCAGCGAAACAACACTGCGTCAGCCAATCGCGACGCGTGTTTCCCCTCCGCCAGCTAATTGGACTTTTGTTCGTCGAACTTACATGTGCGATAACGATTAATTCGTTGATCGTCGACGAGAAAAATACGCATTTGTTTTTAGCCGAGCCATTCGAAAGCGTAGGTATTATTCGATATGTCGTTCTTTTTACAAGAATAACAGAAACATCGAAAGGTTTCCTTCAGATTTATTTTGATTTGTTTGATATATAGGTTGACCACGTACATTCTAGTTCTCTACGGCGTACGCAAGATGGACCAATAAGAGATCCGCCATTGTTGCGATTTCGTCTGATCTCGAGTAAAATAGACGATAACGTCGGCGTTCGGCTATGATTGTTCCGAATGATGATATATTCATTTGCATTGAACATTATAGCTAGTTGAATTGGAAAGCTTAGGAAACAATGACGTTTCAAACATGTTATTGCGCGTCTCGATCCATTCTATGCATGCATGTATACACGTATGTACGTATGTATGTGTGTGTGTGTGTGCGCGCGCAGGTATGTATGTTTACGTTCGGATACATATACTTGTAAGCATGTATTTACGTATGTATGTAGTCATTCAGTATGTACCACAGTTTCGACATAATACACAGTGCATTGTTTTACAGTTTGTCGTACACTGAACATTGAGGCGTAGATGTGTGTACCTCGATAATGAGATCGGAACAATTTAAGAACGCTCTGTACGGATCGAATGTATTCGAGAACGATGGATACACGAACTAGGTAGATTTGAATTGAAACGCGCGTATAATTGCGACGATGCTCGGACCCGTGATTTGTAGAAAGTAAACCAACGTACGATATTCCATGAGCGAAACAACGCGCGAGTTTCATAAAACATTCGTTGCTTTGCGTTGCAATTGCATCTGTGACTTGGCATGCAGTAGGTCGCAAGTTATTCTCTAAAGTCTACGGTCCGCCTATAGTTTATAATAGTCCATAGAAAGCGATTTTGTTCGACGTCTGCTAAATGCGTTCCTTATTTACAGTAAAGTCGCGGCGATGACGCTTTGACATTTCAAGAAATTGAATTTCTCTGGCAAAACGTTCAAGACGTGCCTCTGAGTTAAGAGAAATACGATGATTAACAATTGTCCGACAATGCAATTTTCGGAAGGAATTGTTCTTCTCTGGCTTATAAGCTGTCCGCACGCCGGCACCGGTCTCAGATAGAACAAGTGCCGGTAAGCACGACATTCTGTTTCCAAGTGACTGCATTTAGAAAGGTACGTGAGCCCTCGATTACGCTATTGTCGGAGATTCGTGTATGGATGCGATCAAAATGGTATCGTTCAATTACCGTAGAATTTGAAAAGATAAGACGGAACTAGAGACAAAATAGGGTAATCAAATTGTTAACTTTCGTATCGGTGACCGGGTCAAGTATAATGCATTCGTATATAAATTTCAATCAGAAATAATTCAAAGATCGTAATCGTTTCAGGATGAGTCGCACGCTTGCAATCCTCGTTATCGCCTGTTGTGTGTGCACTAGGACGAGAGGACACAAAGAGGAGCACGGTACAATCTGCAGATATTGGTGTCGGACGAGCGATCATCGATACTATTGTTGTCCGTCGGGTAAAAAGGAGGACTGGATCGATGGTAGCTGGCATGCTATTTCGTACCCGTTGTTTTGGATTGCTGCCGCCACCGCCGAACTCTTGCCGTTTCACTCGCGTTGGTCAGAAGCAAGCGTAACGGAGAGAGCAACCGAGAAACATTGTCCGCCGTTGAGAACCCATTGTCCACGTAGCTACGATTGGTACATGCCGCCGATTTTTTGCGACGTGGACAACGACTGCGGTAAAGGGCAGAAGTGTTGTTATGACGTTTGCCTCGAGCACAAAACATGTAAACTGTCCGAATAATGAATAGAGACAGACAGAAATAGACCGTCGAGACGACTAAAAGACCACTTATTAATTATTTCGTGCGAACAGTCTTCGGATTGTTGTTTCATCCAGTTATTTTCGTCTATTTAATCTTATTTAATCTGTCTTCTGTTAGTTCGTTTTCGCGGCAGGCTCCAAATCACGCTACCGGTTCGAACTGTTCTCAAACATTCTTCTTTTAATTGACGTGAGACTCGATGTAATTAGAATGCTCGTCACGATCAAGGTTACTTTATGCTCGTGTTAACAATTTCGACAGCAGCTTACCAATTAACGTGGGCGACGGGTTTCTTAACGAACAGTTATGTTACGGTGTGTTCTTCACCATGACCCCCTCACCATTATAATATAATTGGTACATATCGCGTTTCGTATTAGCTTAATTAATAAGACCGTCCTTCCGCCGTACGAATTTTCAGTAACGTGTTCGCTCCATGTAAAAACCCTCGATAGATTCTCTTAATTATTACATTTTTAAGTCGCGTTTTATAAAAGATTAAATAACGCGCGCACCAATGCACAAATAGCGTAATAAAACTGCTCGTAAAACGAATACGTAGTTTAGCCTTTAGATATTAACGATAGCGTGTTGCAGCTTCGTAACGATAAACATATCCGAGCTTACTCGCCGCCGACACGGAGAAGAAATTTCAAACGCATCGAAGGGATCGGCAAACGACGGTCGCTTGTCGAAGCTTGTCAAAACTTGTCGAAACAAGCTACGAATAGTTTTTCGTCCTGGAGACCCGGCCCGTGTTTATTTCAGACCGAAACGGTAATCGTACCACTTTAGCCGCCACTGCGTCAAAACAAATATTTCCTAACAGTGATAATAACGCGCATTACTGTGCTCGTATTCTAGGTAAGGGTTCTACACAGACGAGAGATTAGTTTACGTATTCTAGAACTGCTAGTGTGCGAACTACCCAAAGAAAAATGTGAGGAGGAGGGACGCAGACAGAAAGAGAGAGAGGGAGGGAGAGAGAGAGAGAGAGAGAGAGAGAGAGAGAGAGGGAGACAGAGAAAGAGACAAAGAGAGGAAGAGAACGGCAAAGGGATAAAGCAGCCAGAATAGCAGCGGGATCAGAATGGGAATGGAATCTGGATGCGGCGCGCATGCGTCGGCCACGTTCATTCACTCTACCGAATCATTCATAAATCGCAAGCCCTACGCTCGGTAGATTGTAATTAACAACGAGACCTTGTATTTCACGCAGATTGCACGGTACTATTCCATTATAACGTTTCTCCTCCGGCCTTACAGAAGAGTTACATTTATTAATATGTATGTAAACCAGTTCGTTCGATTCATTGACGAAAGCCGGCCTGCTTTGATATTTGCAGCACAACCAGGACGAGACGTCGCCTTCGGTTCAGATGTAATTGACGCGACGACCGCACACGCGCTCAGCCGGATTGCCGGATACAGTGGGTATACAGGAAGCGAGGATACACCGAATGACCGGATCCCAAGATTCCAAGATCGAAAGAAAGTAGGGATGGAGACGACGCGATCGCGTGCGCGCGAACACGTTCTTTCACGAATCGTTTCAATACAGACAAACTCTGTGCATTTAGTAAACACTTATTTACCATCATTAACGATCAGACTGAAAAACTGGTAAAACGTATACATATATACATGTGGTGTTAGCGATGCTGTTGTCACGATATGTACATTGTTAAACGCCGTGTACTTTCAGGTCCGGAGGAAACTATAAAGCGCGAAGGAACGGGAAGATCTGATTTACAATGCTCGAAGTTGGAATCACAAGCATTGCTAGTCGAATTGCTTGGAGTAGGAGGAAAAGATGGTGCACGCACTGATGCAAATACGATGTACATTTACAATATATACAATGCACAGTGTACGATGTGCAATGTATAACGTACACGTATATAATGTGTACAGTATACAGTGTATGCAAGCGAGAATCCTGAGCGCAGCGGGACTAGCGAAATTCATGAGTGGTAGGAGCTGCATAGTGGGGGTAGAACTGGTAGAAGCGCACGCACACCTATGCGGCTGCGGAATTCGGAAGAGCGACAACTTGACTGGCATTCGTTTGCGAACCGCGGTACGGTGCGGTTCGTGGATGCCTCGTGCTCAGTCGTCTAGACCGGCTTCTACCCCTAGAAACGTTCCCTCTCAGGACACTGTGCAAACAAAGTGAGACCCGGCCGACGCGTTGGCCGAAACGTTGTGCCGCAAAACGCCATAGAACGAGAGCGAACGCGGCAGAGATTCGAAGAGAATCTGACAATTTAATTCTGACACGCGGACTAGAATTAATTGCACTGCTCGACAGTTAATTTTGTGCGTTCGATCCGCTACGTTCAGACCGCAACGGTCTTTTCATTTCGAGAAGAGAGGATCGGGTTGAGCGGAATCTCTCGGTCCGTTGGAGTTCCTTCTCGGCTGAAATCCGTGGAAAGTGCTGTGCACGGTCTGGTTCACGGTGTGCTATTCAGAGTTCAGAGGGACGGAACAAGAGGGAGGAAGACGGAAGCAAGACAGAGAGGAAGAGCTTACTTAGTGTAGAAAGGCGTGCTCGGAGACGAACTTTTCGAATCTCGTGATCGTGACCGTGAGCGTGAGCGTGCTCGGCATCGAGTCGCGCTGCCGATGTGACGCATCGGTCCTTATCTCCTTCGGAGTATCGGTCCATTGCTCGTACGATCGATCATCAATGTCCTTTTCATATGTTGGCTATTCGACGGGCATCGCGTACCCGTTCGAACCGTGCCGCGGTTGAAGTTTCCTTTTCTAATTGCTGATCGTGCGACGACGAGCGTGACAGGTCGAAGAATGAGGAACCCGGGATTCGGGAAAGCGCTTGTGCTACTGCCGCTACTGGTCGCCGCGAACGTGGTCTACAGTTCGGGTGAGCAACATTTTCAATCTATTATTTCCAAAGGTATTCGCGCGAATTATTTAATTAAGAAACGTAAGTTACACGCCTTTCCTCTTTTAATAATTGTAAGAAGTTGAAAATGATGTAACAGCGACTTTGAACTCTTCTAATAACTTTACAACACCGTACTCGGCCACTTCCCATCAAATTTTATGCATAAAATCCGCGATCTAGTAACGATCGAATCAATATCTTAATCCAAGCATACGATATTATTGGAATGGCGAGTCTAAATATAATATATAATAAGAACAATAATATATAATAAAATAATAATAAAAAATAATAAGTCTAAATACATTTTGGGTCTAGTCGTCGTTCTAATAAAGCAGGAAATGTCGGTCGCTTTTGAAGTATCATAAATTTTGACGAAAGTTCAACAAACCAGCGGAAGCAAAACGAAAAGGAAATCTTTCGGCTCCGAAGATATGTCTGCGTTAGTCGACCGATAAAATCGCGTTTATCGCAAGTTTTCCCGTGAATCACACCTCGCTATCTCTCATCTCGAAGGAATTCGAGGTCCGTCCTCTCTCAGGTAAACCGACCCAGGCCTGACCGAATCACGGTCGCCTTTGGTTTTCACCCTGAATCGTTACAGGGCCTGTGCTTACGCGTATGCCTCGTACCACGCGCACAGAAAATCTCTTGCGATTCCTGGGAATTCGAAACATTTGTAACTCGTCGTTTTCTCGGGTCCCGTGTAACCTAGCATTAAACGAACGTAGAGCCACCCTCGACGAACCGTTCGTTTCGTAGGTGTTGCTCTTTGGATTCGTCGAAGGAGACCCGATACCCTCCGCGATCGCCGCCCGAGATAATCGACGTGACGGCGAACTCAAATAGCGTCCTCTCGCTTCGATCCCTCGATCCTTGTCTCCTTTCCGTCCTCTTCCGGGTTATATTCCGAGGCCCCCGGCGACCTCTTTTCATCAGTTTTCTGTCCGCCGAGACCGAGAGTGCATACCAATTTCCGTTGCTCGTTTCGTTGTCCTTGAGATCCTCTATTTTCGAACCGTTTCAAAGCTTTTTAGAAACGTTTCGTTTCATTCGGGCAAAGAACGCGTTGCGGTGTAAATGACGTCGAGAGGCCGGACAAACGTCTGTTAGGAGAGCTCGACAAAAATCTCGTCTCGTTCGACGACCGCGATTGTACAGGTGCTCTTCCTCTAATCTCGAAGCGCGCCGCAGCAACGAGACAAAATTGACGAACTCGATGACTGGACCGCAATATTTTCTGCACAATAAAATCGTCCGAGTTAATTGCAAGGATGTACAAATTTTATATTAAAATGTATAATATAAAATATATAATTTTATACTATATTATACTATATTTATATTATATTTATACTATATTATACTATATTTATACTATATTATACTATATTTATACTATATTATACTATATTTATACTATATTTATACTATATATTTACATCATGCAAATATTCTTCAACTCTGCCAATTTCTTACAATTTCGTCTTTTACCTATTTGTGCAGTCTCTAGAGGATGAGTCAATAAGAATCACCGCGATCTTCTGGGAAGCTCGAGCGTATTCTCGCGCGCGTAAAAGAGAGAGAGAGAGAGAGAGAGAGAAAGAGTCTGCGGAAGAGTGGCGAGCATGATGCACGCGTGCAGGCGTGTCCAAGTGGCGAGAGATGATTTGACTCGCAGTAAAGTATCATGTATCGATCACGTTCGTCGGTGCATCGACCGATTCGAGGGCTGCGCATCTGCTGCTCGCCGGGATCGGTCGGGCCACCCTCGAGCACGCGAAACAACAGGCCAGATTGCGATCTCTATCGACGAGCGAAGAAAATCTGAGCGCGGCCGGGAAGTCCGGTAAGATAATCGCGCGCGCCGGTGCGTCGGTGCGCCGAGCCGGAGGAAACGTATCAGTGATCAGGAATCGATTGCGGCGTGTTTCCTTGGCATAGGTGCGTTCCGGAGCCGGTTGCAGAGGCGTTCCCCGGTTCTTGCAAAGGTGTTGCAGAGGTGTTTGCAGAGGTGTTGCAGAGATGTTGCGGGCGAATCCGAAAATGCGCCTTGTACCTTGCGCCTCGTACTTCGCACCTCGCTAATCACTGACGCAATCGCGCTCGGCAACGGTGCAACCGTTTCGTTACGTAAAGGATTCTATCGTAATCGAATGGAAATGGAAAAAATCGCCGGCTGCTCCGCGTTCCGTTCAGTTCCCTCGGCGATACGTTTTATATTAGGCGTCGAATCCTCCGAGGAAATCGCGGACCATCTAGACCAGAGTCGCGCAGCGTTTTTCTCGTTCGCGGTGGTCCACCGTGGGTCCCATCATTCAAATTGGTGTCATTTCTTCGGGCAACGATCGGGGACCGGCCGATATTCCGCAATCTAAAATTTGAAAACCGATAGAAACGTTCTCGCAACTTTTCATATATTCTATAAGAATCTCAGTGATATCTTTAATTTAAAAAATTACGCCCGTGCGTCGACGTTCGCAACGAATGAATGTTCAAAGGTTGAGAGTAAATTGTATTTGCGAATTGCGATCGTCGATCGCTGGATAGAAACTTCTTTCTTTTCTCAACAATTTTGCTAACTCAAAGATATAATACGACCCTCTTGAATTCTCTTAATCTCTCAGCCGTTTGAAATGTCAGCAGTTTTGTCATAAATGGATAAAATCCTCAGTCCAAAGAGAGAGAGAGAGAGAGAGAGAGTCGTACAAGGACCTTTTGGCCAGCGTTTCGGCAAAATCGGGCGGCGCGCGTCGCGTCGGCGGTCTACGAAACAAGTCAATACGCCTCCGAAGTTGAAAAAGGAAGGACAAGAGCAACGGGAAATGAAAGAGGACTGAGACAATTGGGACCGCAAGCTGCGGAACGAGAGCGAGATCGGGAGCGAGATCGGGAACCGGTGCAGGAACCAGTGCAGGAAGAAGGAACGAGAAGGAAACGGCTGACCTCCCCGGCCACAATGAGGTGTCCCGCGTACGCGACGTGCATACATACATGCGTACACACGCGTACAGACCGTGCACGCACAGGCGCGTGTACGTACGCGCGCAGGATCCGGAGAAGCGAAAGAGAACACTGCAACATTCCGTGATGGAGGGCAACATCTGCCGCAGGCTCCGCGTACACCACCTACTACATCCGACTGGAGCCTTTTCTTAGGTCCTTTCGCACGGAACGAAACGAAACGAGAAGGCGAAACGTGGACGCGTGTCACGCGTTCACATGTCACACGTACACGCGTACAAGGCAGCTGTCTCTCGGCCAGCAAATGCCCGTCGAACGGGCTATCCTGTCTCATCGATAACTCGTAAACTGTGTCCTTCCACCATGCAGCCTTAACGCGGCTATTTCCTACAAGAAGTTCCACCTTTAGTATATTAATTAGTATATTATTATATTNGATATTCCGCAATCTAAAATTTGAAAACCGATAGAAACGTTCTCGCAACTTTTCATATATTCTATAAGAATCTCAGTGATATCTTTAATTTAAAAAATTACGCCCGTGCGTCGACGTTCGCAACGAATGAATGTTCAAAGGTTGAGAGTAAATTGTATTTGCGAATTGCGATCGTCGATCGCTGGATAGAAACTTCTTTCTTTTCTCAACAATTTTGCTAACTCAAAGATATAATACGACCCTCTTGAATTCTCTTAATCTCTCAGCCGTTTGAAATGTCAGCAGTTTTGTCATAAATGGATAAAATCCTCAGTCCAAAGAGAGAGAGAGAGAGAGAGAGAGTCGTACAAGGACCTTTTGGCCAGCGTTTCGGCAAAATCGGGCGGCGCGCGTCGCGTCGGCGGTCTACGAAACAAGTCAATACGCCTCCGAAGTTGAAAAAGGAAGGACAAGAGCAACGGGAAATGAAAGAGGACTGAGACAATTGGGACCGCAAGCTGCGGAACGAGAGCGAGATCGGGAGCGAGATCGGGAACCGGTGCAGGAACCAGTGCAGGAAGAAGGAACGAGAAGGAAACGGCTGACCTCCCCGGCCACAATGAGGTGTCCCGCGTACGCGACGTGCATACATACATGCGTACACACGCGTACAGACCGTGCACGCACAGGCGCGTGTACGTACGCGCGCAGGATCCGGAGAAGCGAAAGAGAACACTGCAACATTCCGTGATGGAGGGCAACATCTGCCGCAGGCTCCGCGTACACCACCTACTACATCCGACTGGAGCCTTTTCTTAGGTCCTTTCGCACGGAACGAAACGAAACGAGAAGGCGAAACGTGGACGCGTGTCACGCGTTCACATGTCACACGTACACGCGTACAAGGCAGCTGTCTCTCGGCCAGCAAATGCCCGTCGAACGGGCTATCCTGTCTCATCGATAACTCGTAAACTGTGTCCTTCCACCATGCAGCCTTAACGCGGCTATTTCCTACAAGAAGTTCCACCTTTAGTATATTAATTAGTATATTATTATATTAATTAGTATATTAATTATATCAAGGAACGATGAAACAAACGAGTCGTTCCCGTTGCTAATTACCTCGCGGTCGATGCGACGTGGAACCTGAATAAAAAAAGATAATGTCAAAATTAAAATAAAACTCGAACAAAAATAAAGTTTCCAAGCTGACATCTTTACCGCGGTTCGTCTACGTGATATCGAAAGAAACTGTGCACGGATCTTTCCATCCGGCCATTTTTTCACAGCAAACTGGAAGTTGAAATTTATAATTTACAATCGATGATTTCTTATATCTGAAAAGCGACCGATACTCGGCGTTCGGCTGAATGATAGATTCAGCAAATTTCAGAAGATCCAACGAATTGGATCTTCGCACAGATCCTGCGATTCTTCTATAAAAGAAGGAGGATGGCGAGGACGCTGGTAATCGAGCTCTCGTCGAGCAGAAGGGCGCCAGGCGGACGGTGTTCGATTAGCGAGGGTCGCGCCGCGACTGGAACGCGTCGTATCAGCGCCGGGTACAGTTAATTAGAGTCGTGTTCCCGACAAGGATCACGGTATTCGGGGTTTACGGCCGCAAGGCCTGGAAAAGAATAACAGTTTGCGAAAGGCAGGGTTCTATCGAGATCTCGATCCCGATAGAGCCGTGTTCCCAGCCTCGGTTTCGATTAGGGCTCGGCTTTTACCTTTCACGTGGGATAAGCGCGCGGGTACTGCTCTACGCGGGGCTCTCTGGTTCGCGGTGCCGGCCACGTAGCAGCTTACCTTCGTGAACCGGAAACATGCTATTAGCCGGCAGTCTTCTCTTGCCTCTTGATTCACGTGTTCCTTTATAATTGCCTCGATACCTCGATACCTCCATGGATTTTTCCGCCTCTTTTTTGCGTTCATTAAGATCTCTCCCAGTCTGCCGGCGAGACCAGAGACAACGCGATGGAATCCCGGCCGCGACGGATCGTCGCAACTGCCGGCCTCCGGATTCGTCTCTTTTCGGTTCTCGTTTCTCTCTCTGTCGACGGAAAAAATCAATTAATTCAATTTATCTATCTATCGGGGGCCGTCTCATGAATAATGCGGCGTTTTTACACGTCGTTTATTTTTTTAATTCGATAATTAACACTTTAATGACCGCTCTCGTACAAAATGTACGCGATGCTTTAATAATTACGTAAGCGATTGCTTTAATAATCAAAGCGTTAATATTGTAATATGTATTCGAGGTATTTTCTTCGTCTAAAGTACAGTCTCCTTCATCGGTCACGACGCTCTTCCACCTTTCTGAAAGGATTTCGAGAAGAAGACCTTCCTATTGAAACACCGCATTGCTCACGGGACGGTCCTATGTTGCGCATAGAAAGGGCGAGAGGAACCCTTTGTTGCAAACGGAGAATACTTTGCAATCGTGGTTGACGGACACGCGATACTTGTACGTACATCGCGATGCGGAAGGCGCGTTAAGATGCACCGCGATTCCGGGAGCAATTACACCGACGAAACACGGAGCACTCGTTCGTCCGTCGAATAACTGGACGATCGATTGCACCGAGGCATAACGCACGGCTTCACGCTTTCTGAAGCCGGTCTACGAGGTGAGAATCGCGCACCGAGAGGAACGGGGTCTCCCGTTTCCTTTCCTACGACTGCGAATCCTGCGCTCGTAGATCCGAGCGACTTCAACGACTCTCGAATAAACAGGAGGTTTCGCGGGAAATAAGCGACTCGGGTCGAGACGTTCCTTTTTTTTCGGATCGAGAAGATGTTCGTATCAACGAGGCCCGATCTTCGAGTTGCACAAACAATTGAAATGTAATAATCGACATGTATAAAAATATGCATTGGATGTCGTGTCAAAGTGCGATAATAAAAACAACGAATTTTCGAACGAACTTCGGAAAGAACTGCTATCTTGGTTCTCGAGGGTTCGGCAGGTTTTCGCCTCGAAGAAATTTTTTCGAACATGTAAGAGTTGAAAAATCGGCTTTCGGCCGGAAATTACCGCTTCCCAGACTACTGTGCGTCGGAACGATTGGAAGACGGGAGGACGGGAGGCCGGGAGGAAGGCCTACGATGCTGCGAGAGGCCATATGGCGCGCGAAACGGGTCCAGTCCTGACTCGGGAGGGAAGATCGCAGCCAGGATCGAGCGAGGCCGCTTTTTGCAGAGGCGCGTTCACCTCGAAAAACAAGACGAAGACAAATAAGAGGAGGAAGAAAAAGCAGAAGAAGAGCCGATGGACCACCGGATGTGGATCATCGGCGGATACTCTCGGCGCACCGGGCCAGACGTTTATCGCGCAGATTAAAATCGCTCGACGGCGACGCGACGGTCGGCCGATGTTTTGCAGACCGCCTCGTTCGAAGGTTTCGACGCAGGATACAAGGAAGTTTTATAGAGTTTTATGGCACATCGGAAAGTGAAACTTCGAGCGAAATATCCCTGGAATATTCAATTATACGGCGCGTAAAAGAGCGCTCCGCGGTGGTCAGCGCCGAACGTTGTTCGACGCCGAGACATCCGTTCGAACGTACTGAAATTATCGGGAATTATCTCGAATTTCCGTGACCGTACTCGCCAGCACGAATTTCCTGCTATCTCTTACGATTTCATAGGTACAATTCCCTAGGGCGCGTAAACATTTCTCTTGTTTCCTTTTATTATTACTATTTATTCGCCGGTCCCCGACGCTGCTAGTTATTATCATCCAAAAATAAAAGTACAACAATAAAAATGTTTACTCGTTTACATTATTAAATACACAGCTAATTCGTTCATCGAATGCAACAGATGCGAGATGAACGGTAAAATAACCACTCTTTTTGCATTGCGCATTTGTTACACGCTATCGGTAAGTTCATCATGAATTAATAATACAATTATCACAAATATAAGTATGCGACATTGTCAACTAAAACGTGATCCAAGATTGAAATTGTTTTATATATATATTACATAATATATTATATTATATTATATAAAACACATTGAAATTAAATTTGTTTCTTCGCGATATTCCCTCGCGTATCGTTCCACTATTAAGGAGAATAATTAAAGTGGACGCTGACAGTAATTGGTACATTCAGCCTAGCTTTCGCAGCACACCGAACGTCGAGCCTTCTTCCTGCAGGATGTACGGAAAAAGCCACGCTTGTGCGTTAGAACAGGATACACGGAATTTCTAGTCCGAACGCGATGACTTAAGATTTCTCGTGCGACTAAAAGTCTCGAGGAAGCGGGCACGAGGCGCTGCTTCGCAATGCCGATACACGGCCAACACCAATGGAATTGTTATTCCGCGTCCAGTCGCGTCTTTTTCTAAATATAATCGGCCGGTTTCCGGTCGCGCAGCCGGCAAGAAAACTCGAAAACTATAAATACTTGTACTGTGCGCGATCCCACCGCTTGGAACTCCGAGGCGGCGTACGCGAACCAGCTAACAAAAATTTCGCGGCGATTCAGCGACGAATTTCACGATCGGTCTTCGTTTTGCTCGAGTGTCTTTGCTATTCGGAAATTGGCCGACGGAAATTGACATTTTTCAGCGTTTTCAATTCGCATATTTTGGCTATCTCAATCGACATTTTTAAATGATTTCAATTGACATTTTCCAGCATTCTCGATAAACACATTCCAGCGATTTGAATCGAAATTTTCCAGCGGTTTCAATCGACATTTTTCTCAGCGATTCCAGTTGACATGTTTCAGCGATCATAATTGGCATTTTGCTCGCGCGAGCGTTGTCCAGTTATCGTGCTAGATTATTACGTACGTCGATGATAGAGAAAGATGTTATCCGGAGATTCTTCGAAGGTGTTGCCGTTAATTCCCGGTTAACGAGACACGGCATGCAGAGTGCAGCGGGGTGCAGCGCCGCTAACGAGAGAAGGAAGGGCGAAAGTGCTCGACGGATTTCTTCCTTCTTAATTATAAGAGCGAACATCCTGTCGACAGGGTTTCTAACGTATTGGACGGGTATGGTCCGATTATCGCGATCATTGTGCCCTTAAGCGCTCGTTCGCTCGAGGTTTGCTACATGGAACCAGGATCCTTTAAGCTCGGTTCTCCATCTTCCCGTTCTACCTTCTAGCCGAATTTATTATAGTCTCGCCCGTTTTCGACTTTTAACCCTGTCAACGACATTTCGTTGTTGGCTCTTAATATTCTTAACAAACGATGCTCGAATTTCCTTATTTCACGTTGCCTATTGATTTCTTCTATATCTAAATAAATAAATAAATTCTATATAAAAATAAATATCGAAATAAATAAATAAATCTCTACTTCGCACGTTCGCGTCACGATTCTCGGTTGTCGTCTGTCGCTTATCGCAGGATACCGAGTGCGACATCGGCGTCAATAAAACGAGGCCTTCGTATACATTCGCCAACATCTGTCGGTGAACACCGATGTGACACGTGGTCGCACCTGTCACCTCGCGTCGCATGGTGCGCGTGCCTGCGACACCAGACGACACCAGACGACGCCGGACGTCGCGAGGCGACGCCAGACGACGCGAAAGAAGCCCGGACGAGGAGGAAAGAAGCATCGAGAAAGCGCGCGGGGTTGCTTGGAAAAAGAATATCCGGATGGCACGCGCTCCGCATGCGGCATATGGCGATACGGCCGCGGCTTCGATCACGGCCCATTGATCCTTCCATGTCACCTGCGTCGTCGACGCGGCAACGGATGTTCTTCGACGTGGAGACCGGCCAGGGGGAGGCGGGTCGCGCCCTGTTCCTCCGCGAATTATTGCGATCGCATAAAGTTGTATCGTTTGAACACAATGGAAGGGGACGCCCACGAAAACGCTCGCGCCCCGAGCATCGGCGGCGTCAACTGTGGCCACGGCATCAACGGAGCGACCATCTACGACGGAGAAACCACATTAAAAAACAAAGTCATAGTCCTGGCGAACAGATGGGGACCAGACTCGGGTTGGCGACTCGAGGATTCTACAGAAACTTTTACATTCGTCACCGATATCCAGACGGATCTTACCGCGGATTCTTTATGCGAAACAAAAATTATTCAACTTAACTGTAACGAACAGAAATGGAATGTAAACATATTTCTTCTTTTAATCATTTTAATCATTCGGAGAGAAGATAGTGGCGTTCTTAAAATTTTCTAATATGCTTATATTTTCTAATTTTGTTTCTAGTTATTTTCTTAAAAAATCTTAACAAAACAACGTATTTGTATGTTTCTATTTTCTGTTACTTTTAATATGGAAATATACAATATATATTTACGTGTTTCTATTTTCTATTATATCTAATATGGACAAAGCCAAGAAAGAACTACATTTGCATATTTTCATTATTTCTAATATGGAAACACTCAAATATGATATTGTCTTACGTTGTGGTTCAAACGTTAAACCTATCTCCGCTGATCAAATAACCGGTTCTTCACATTTTTTGTTTTATCGTTCCCGAAGTTGTAAAGCTATTTCCATTCGAAATTGTTGAACACCTTTCTTTCTTCTATTAAAAAAAAAAAAATTGCGGAGATCAGCATCGGCAAGGATCATTTGGGGGTAACTGCGAGTCAGGAGTCCAGGTTCGACGACATTGTCGACAACGAAACATTGACCTCGCTTCGATCCCGGCAACGTTGCTCCGATTTCGATGGCGATTGCAATTTCGACGGCCATTGTAATGCCGATGACGACAGCAATTTCGATCTCGATTTCGGATGGATTTCCATCTTGACCGTATCTACTTCCGGCCGCCGTCCTCGAACTAGACAAGGTAACTGACCGGAAACCGCTCTGTACGGCGTACAGCGTATCCAATGACAATAGGAAACCGGGCACACGGAAGCATCTAACGTTGGTTGTCAACCTCGAGCGAGGAGTCTGGATGCCTGGTGCTCACGGCATGGAACAGACGTCCACCCTGTGTGCACGACACGTGAACACGCCGCGCGCTCTCGAACAGTTAGGCGAAACACGGACACGAACGCGGACACGGTGACACCGCGCGGCTTTCTCACTACCTTTCCACCCAGAACTGGGAACAGAGCTAGCAACCCGTGTTTCTTCATGCTCCGCGGAGCCACGAAGATGATCCTACGTCTTTGGATCCGGACGGTTCGCGTACGACATCGACTACCTCTACGTACATACATACATAACAACTTATACAATAACTAAATATTTTTACAAGCGATTTGAATATTTAATTATTATAATAATTATGAATAATTTCTTCTTGGAAATGATTGCAATCGAAGAACTTCTAATCGTTGTAACCATGAAGAAAATGGTACGGCAAGGGGTTAACATGTGAATCGAAAGTAATCATCTGTACCGCACACCGTGTCAGCGGAATTACTCGTGATTCCCTTTGGGAATTGATTGTAATTAAACGTCGTTGTAAACGAAGCGCAAAGGGTTACCGCGGCGACAGAAGAAAGGATAAGGTACGCCGACAGGAAGAACCGGGGTCACTGAAAGAGAACGCGAGAGCTCCGATCGCGTCTGTCCGATCTCCCGGCTCCGGGAAACCGAGAGGCAGGTGGTGTGTGTACCGCGCCCATCGAGCTCTCGCCGAGTTCCCAGCCGATTACTCAGACGTTTCCATACGGAAAGAAGAGAAGAAAAAAAAGGGGGAAATCGTGGAACGACGGGACACGGAGCACTCTCGACATCCGTGGCCTCGTTCGTACGGAATTACGTGTTAGAACGTAATCGTGGCGCAAGGAAGAGGTGTCTTGGGAGTGGATCGAGGTTGCAGGGTCGTCACACTCCCTGGCAACGCAACAATGACCAGCGAAGAAACGAGCGGCGAGCGAGAAGAGAAGGAGCGACCGATCCGGAAGCGTCTCATAATCCGCGGACGCCTGCCTAGGTGCCTAGACCGCTCGAACTGTTCGAACTCCGTGGATCGCCCGTGTCGTCGCCAATATCTGCGAGATCGGCGGGCACGATTCTTCGGATCCGCCAAGCAATTTCGTAATCGTCGCGACGACCGACGATTCTACTGATCCACCAAGCAGTTTTGTAATGGTTACGGTGACCGTCGTCCCTCCGGATTTCTGCAAAATTATTATAGAATCGTTTGAATTTGTTTTTCGATGTCTTTATATTCTAATCAGTAGAAAAGTGAATACCGAGCAACTTTTGTGTAGGAAGAATCGCGGTTTCTTTTGAAATTGTAAGATATAAAATAATTGCGAAGTATGAAATAATTGTCAAACGTAAAATAATTGCAAAGCATAAAGTAAGGTCTAACATAACATAAGGTCCCACTTAACAACAGTCTAGGCTTTCGTATAAGAAAAAGTCTTACATTAAAGATTTTCAAGCATTCTTTTGTAAGCCTCGTCGAAGTTCGAATTGTTAAAAGCCTAACATTCTTCCTACACGGGCTAAAGAAATGCGTTCGACACGCACGAACAGTTAAAACATAAATGCTTCCATGCATAGAAGTGTAGCAAGAACGTGCATCTTAATATTTTATATCGAGTAATTGAAGCAATTAGTTTTAATCTCAATCTCATATTTTTGTCTTGATAATGCCAAATAAGTCGATACACAGGAACGAAAACTTTTGTTCGATCGTGACGCTTAAAAAATTGCATTTCGGCCAGAAATTAATATTTTCCAGACCGCTGTGCAGCGATCGATACACACCTATTCTCGCCCACCCTCGCCCATCCTCGCTCATCCTCGCCCCTTTTCGCAGAACTCGGCCCGACGATCGCAGAAAATTCGAGACCAAGTGTCGAATGTCTCTGGAAATTCTTCCGGAAGGATCATCGCTTTGGTCCGATACGGTTTGCCAACCGTGAAACGATTAGTCGAATTTCCAATAGTATCGTTGAAAAGTAAAATGAAAAAAAAATTGTACTTTAATTCTATTTATTCGAGTATCTATCCGACTGTGCTTTCACGGATCACCAAAGGGCTCGCAGAAGGTTCTCTCCTGCGGTTCTTAAGGTTTCACACGGTGTCTCGGTTTACCCGGTGACAACGGAGCTTCCCAGCCCGCAAATACCTACGATTCCGGGAAGAATTTCGAGCTCCCGTTTGCGAACTCCAGCTTCGACTTAAATTTACGTCGACGAACATTCAGTAATTGATGCACGCGAGCACGAATAAGAAAACGATCAGCGAGAGAAAATTGGAACTTATTGTATTCGACGCGTTGCAAGGCTCTGCTCCTCTTCTCGACTGGCAAGCGCAGAGCTCGATCGTGTGACCATCTTTCTGTAAACAAAAATTACGAACAATCTGAATTCGATTCGACAAGAAATATTCGCATCGTATGCTAATTCAATTTTTATAGCAAACATATTTTCTGCAATAGAGTTACTCACCTTTTGCTGGTAACATCCCGACGTTATGACCGTAACCCGATCCTCTACTACTTTGCCACAAAATACAGATGCGTTCACCACTGAAACAAAATTCGATTCGTTAAGATTATTCTTCTTTCTTCTTCTTTCGACTTGATATTATGTGCTTACACTCGTTGTTGAAGGATACGGTATATTTTAAACAAACGGCGCCAGCTTCTAAATTACACAAGGATGATTGGTCGGTGTAACGATCCGCCCAGATTTCAGTCGTGTTCGGAAATTCTCCTGAAATAAATTAATTAAATTGAAATTATCTTCGGTAAACACCCGTGAACGCGGCCGTACACGTTGCGGTACACACATCTGATAGGTTATAATTAATATTTAATTATAATATTAATTTAATCTTAATCGAGTAATATTTTCTGCGACGTTTTCTCAAGCCTTTCTTTTTATCCACACTGAACGTTTCCCTGCGGTTTACTTCACGCGTGCGAGCTCTTAGCCGGTGCACAAGTATACTTACAGCACGGTTTACCTGCACAGGTGAATCGGTGCAGGTAAACCGCAACGTGTACGATCGGCTTATTATCAAATGCGATTATTAATTCTGATTCTGATATATACTTTGCATATATGCCGGTTCGATGCAAGGAACGCCCCTCTGTCCGGAACAATTGTACCTTTCAGACTCGTTGTTGAACTCCGCCGCTACTAGCCATCTGAATTGAAAGCAGTACGGCGCATTGTCATCGAAAGCTGCAAATCAATCGCAAGAGAATGATAATATTTCGCTGTAGCACTTGAACCGTGTGTATAATTACCTAATATTAAAGTCGCGCCACAAGCGATCGCGATCAAAAGTACGCCCGAACGAATTTCCTTCATTTTAACACGCCGTTCTCCGTTTCGCCGCGTACAAGACTGAGTTTTGAAACGGTGCTCTATAGAAGCTATCTAATCTGATAAAAATACCTGTCACCATTTTAATCTGGCACTTATCTTCCGAAACGCCTGTACCATAGAGCACAACAAATAATTCCGATTCACTGTGGCCACGAAAAGTCAAATTCTATATCGTTTAATAACAAGCTCGTTATATTTAAGAGATAAGTTGTTAATGTGTTTATATTCTTTAGGAATAAATTACGCACGATTAGATATGAAGACAGATATAATTTTATCATAAAAATGTCCCAGTCACGGCGGTTCTCCCCTTTACTCATCGAGGACATCGATGGACTATACAGGGTGTCCTAAAACAATTGCTGGCCTCGCCTCTCATTGGTTGTCTCTCATATTTTCGTTAATATCTTGTAAACCAAACCGCGGATTGCATTTGCGCCAAGGAAAAAGTTGCTTCGAATGACCCAAGGAACCCCTCATTTCCCAATTGCGAGTGGCTTTTGGGACACCCCTTAGACATAATCGTGGAATTAACAGTTAAACGGACCCGAGCTGCTTTTCTTTTCGCAGTCGGAAGCTTCGTTTCGCTTCTCGGTAGAGAAGCGCACGAGTGTTCCGCGCGAAGTTCGCAAATCGTCGCATAAATCGGTGGCTCTTTTCCGTGGAAGAAAAGAAACAAGCACCGTGTAAAGAACAGCGGCACGGCGAGCAGAAAGGAGCGAGTCTCGTGTCCTCGTGTCCTCGTTGGTCGCCAAAGGGAGGAGAGATTGTTGCGAGCGCTCGGCCACTTACGCTCATAATGCGTCGCCCGTGCGTAAGTTCGCATGCGTGTGCCTGTTCATTGTCCAGAATCGCGGCCCGTGAAAAAACCCAGTCGTCTCCCGGTTTTCGATGCGCGGCTCGCGTCCGACTCGGTGTGCAGCAGCACGTCAAATTTCGACGCGTTTCTCTCGCGAATGTCCGAGCCGAGTATCGGCGCGCGACGAATCGCCGGAGGACCCTGTACGCTCTCTCGCGAACCTCTCTTCTCCCTTTTCGAAGATCGTGTAACGCGCGGCGCGCCGCGTGGGCGGTTGGTCTTCGAGCAGATAATATTCGCCCGGAACACTTGGCGCGCTATCGAAGCATAATTTTCCGCGATGCGCGTGTAGGCAGCGAACAATTGATATGCAAATGGCCCGATGCCGATGCAGACGCCGTTAACGATTCCGACGTTCGCGTCTTACAGGCCGATCCACGAGCGACTCTTACGCTAGAAACATCAACCTGCCTCTCGATTTACACGGGATATATCGTGAGACATTTAGCCGAATTTACGCAGCCGGCGAACCTTTGCGAGGCTCTTGAACACAGAGTCCAAGCAGAATTTTATTCGAACGACGGACGAAAGATGAAGAGCAACGAATAAAATTGTGTTCGACGCTTTATCGAATAAAAGTTTATCCAGATAAAAAATGTGTCCGAATAAAATTTCATTCCAATAAGATTTTATTCGAACATTAATGTAATTCTGCTTGGACCGGATACGCTTATAATTCTACGGTACCAGCTTCTCTGTCTCCAATATTTTTTCTTTCTTGCCTCGCAGACTCTATTTGCGGGATTTTCACGTGGAACGGACATTCGTGTACACGATCGGCCGTATAGAATTTTTCTATGAAAGACGGCCGTCGGAAGCATCGTCTCTCTCTCTCTCTCTCTCTCCTTTCGCTCGGTTAAATCGATTTCACGGCCGGTGAAAAGAAACAGAAGACAGCGAATCTGGTCCCGGCCGGTCGCTGCGGTTTCCAAGGAATTCCTCGCCGGTTCCGTACCGAGACAATACCCCAAAGTTAACCGTGCGTTCGTTATTTTCCGAGCGATCGAACATTTGTGCAGCAAACGGAACGGGCCGCGATCCGAGGCGGCCCGCTGTGGGAATCGTCGACGTTTTGGTATTAGATCGACGGCTAACAACATGGTCGCGTTGCGGAGCAAACAGATTCAGCGAGTTGCAAACTCGAAAGAAATATTAGCGACGACGAGTCTTCGATCGTCGGATCTTTGTCGAGCAGATGTCGGCGAGACTGTAATCGTTTTCCGAAGGATCGGTACAGTGGCCGAAACAATGATAGGTTCATCTAAATTTGTGTTTTACGTAACATATCTGTTTTTTGCTATTAGATGATTCGTTGCAACGCGTTTAGTGAATATAAATATAATATATCATTATTTCAGTATATTAGTATAGCATTATTATTTAGCTAAGATTATTGATCTGCTAATACGAGCTTATCATTATTTCGGCCGCTGCACGAGAAACGGAAGGAAGAAACTGTGGGAAATACTTGTCGCGGCGGTTTCGCCTATCGGCGAGTCTCGGACGCGAAATACCGAAGCCATTGAATCGGCCGTAGACAAAGGAGCGGAACGGAGCGGAGACCGCACAATGCGGTGCCGGCCGATCATCTCTGAAAATCGAGAAGGCCGGGTTGTTTCCCCGATACCGGGGAACAAACCGGTATCGCACTCTGCTGCCTGTAGCGCCGTCGTCGCGCCGCCGCTGCAACCGATCCATCGACCCCGTTTCAATCGAAATCGTCCGAGTTCCAGTTTCCTCCGTCGACACGATCGAATTACCTGAAAATCCTGATCTCCGCTCGCAGTTCCGAACCAGTTGCAAACCGAATTGCGAACGGAGACGGCGGTGCTGGTCGCCGGAGGGTAGGAACAACCCCTCTAGACTCGCGAAGCTCGCGTAGTTTCTTTTTTAAACATAAGGGTTTCTATCGATTCGCCGGGGGTCTTGGCGTCTCTTCGCGTCTCAGTTTTCGTCTGCCAACTGATTTACAGGGGTCTCCGTGACAGTCGAATCCAGGGCATTATGGTTCGACGCTTGCTCTCCTCGAGGGGTGAGTTTATCGATCCGCGGGATGAGCGTATCCGTAGGCTCCCACTACTCCGACGATGATAAATTTGTATATTTATTTGTTCCAATATTTCAACGGGACTACACCGATTTCTGTGGACAATGAAAATTGTTCGCATTAATTATAAGGCGCAGGAGCTACACGTGGATATTAATTTCTTCGCTTGCTAATTTGAATAAGTTGATATCGATGCAAACAGTATTTTGAAAATCCTCGAATATTTTCAAGACTCGTTTTTATTGTTACCGATTGTCAACAACAATAAGAAGGAGCCGCGGGGCTCGAATCCGTGGGAATCCTAGAAAACGAGAAGGACAGTAAACGCGAGACAGTAGTCGCGCGTTGGACGGGGGTGGTAGCCGAATGTCGTGATGCAACAAGAGGACACCGGCTTAGCCGTGAAACGGAATAAAACGGGGAAACCCATTGGCGAGGGACGATCACGTTTTCGGACTGACTGCGAGGCCGACGGTAAGGAAGAGGAACAACGGGTGGAAGAGGAAGGTGGCATGGGACCGAGCACGGCAGTTACCAGTTCTCTCCGTGGGTCTCGTTCTCAGGAACCCGAGACCAACCGAGAAGATTCGTACAAGAGTATAATGCCGCGAGAAGAATGCGCGCAGCAACCGACAAACGGCAACCACCATGGGAACCCCGTCGAGGGAAATGGTACCTTCTGGCCACCTTTCCCAAAAAGTTGATCGACATCCGATTCTCGAAGTACACAGGCTGATTATGGCAATCGGTACGCTACTACAAATACGCGAAGGATAATTAGTAAAAAGCGTTTTAAATCGCATCGATTCGTTTGCGTTGTAAATGCATAAAATCCGCGGTCTAGTAAGTACTAACGAAAACAAAAGGATTTATTTATTTATTTCTACTAATTATCGTTCGTTTATAAATGTCGGCGTCCGGAACAGATCTCTTCGAACTAGGCTCGTTAAGGAACGTGTCAACCTTATCAGTCAGCCGTTTTCGACAAGTATACTCGCGGTAACTCAAACTGTTGCTGTCTCATCGCGACCATGAGTCATGGATTCGACGACGAAAGAGATCCCGCGAGCCACGCGAACTATGCGACCGAGCATAATCCTTCCGTGGCAGGCGATAGCGACTGGTATTATGTTTCGTAGCCAAGTTTATCATGGTGGTCCACCTGTCAGCGTCGCACCTGCCCTCCGTAACCACTTAATGCCGACGTTAATGACCATTCATGGATCGTTGGGTATGCGACATGTGGGCAGTAAACTGGAACGCGATTTATTCTGTGCGTCGCGCGTCCCGCCGCATCGCGTGGCACGAGGCACGAAATACCTTTATCCTCGAATCGATGAACCAACATAGACCGCGATTCTTCGGCTAATTCGGAAATACTTGCGCTCTTTAAACCCGTGAAATTCTCCGTGCCCAAGTTCGAGGGCATGAATTGATGCACAGCGGTCTGGCCAAGCAGTATTCCATTGCTGCAATACAGTTTATTAAGATTAATATATTATTGAAAATGTTTGTTTCTGATAAATAGTCTTTGAAGCTTCTCTATCGAAAATATTATTCGTTTCAGGCTCGAGAGATAATATTCAAAATCAAATTGAAATTATTAAAAATCACAAAACTCAAACTTTGCAACATTCAACATTCAATATTCTACGTAACATAATATTATGAATTCAACATTCATAACATTCAACACTTTGCAACACGTTAATTTTACTTTGAATTCTATGATTTTGAATATTATTCGTATATACTAATAATAACCTGGCTAATATCGAGACGAATTCGATCGTCTATTGCACCGTGACCATAAACCTTGGAGAAGCAACGCTAAAATAATTTTGTTGATAGAAAGCGAATTCCTAGAGCACCGCGCGATTCGCTGGCGCGCGGTTAACGACCGACCACGTCTAACGAGGCATCGTTATTTGATTTGCAGATGCGACCGTAATCACGAGCGACGGCGGCCTTCGAGGCTACGACCCCCGGTTCATGGTCGGCTGTTACTTTCCCGCGGAATTTCAGGGTGAGTTCGTGACACAGGTGAGCGGAAAGGAAGCCGGCGATACGACCGGCGCGCAGCCCATTCAGTACTCCACCATCGCCATCACGTTCAACGCTATACCGGTCTGGGGTTACTGTCACAGGAGGGTCGGTGATAACGTCTTACTGATGGACAGGTCGGTCCCGTTCGAACCATATTTGTTAGCTTCTACATTTCCAAGCCTATCGAGCCCTAAAAGCAATAATCAGGATGGTATTAATTGATTAAATCAGGTGATATTAAATGGTGCAACTTTCTTCAAGAGGACTAAAAGACTCGGATATTTTTTATATGGCAAAAGGACTATCCCGCAACGACTACAATACTCCTTTTTAATTTTGCTATTACTTGGAATGACAACAAAATAACCGACGTGTTTTATGACGAAATTTTAACAAACGCATTCAAAAGAAATTCAAGTCGTTTAGTGCAGTTTGAAAAAAGTTGTACTATCTTAGAAGGTGTCCACGTATTCACGTGGCTTTGTAACTAACAGCGAGGAATGGCGAGCTGAATCTTAGAACAGCAAAGCCTTTTGGCTCTCGCTTAATTCATCCTTCTAATGCAGAATACTCCGACGTCTGCGGCGTGTCCGAGACGGAAATAGTCCAGACACCGGACCGCATCGACTACATGCTTCGACTAACGGTGCTCCATTCGAAATTCGATAGACCGTTAATTAGCTGCCTCGACTGGCTAATACTCGGTTTAATTTTCGATAGAACACTCGGTCCGATACTCGATCGATTTTGAAGATATTAACGCTCGAATGACGGGATCGTTTCGACAAAATATGTATATCTATATCCGAGCATATGTAGGATCATTCGTAATTTGATTTATCAATTTCTGTTTTAAGATATTTATCAAGGTAGTATTTCTTTTAGACATATTAGCTACAAATAATAGCTTTTTTCTAGAAACTTGTGCGAAATTTTGATCGAACGTCAGAAACTATTACGTGATCCTACGAACAACGCGGTATTACATCTTCGATCGTTTTAAATATTAATGTTCAAAACAAATATTCACTAGATAATTAAATAATAATATTTATACTATAGACCAAAATGGACCCAAGCCTCGCCGCTGTTCGAGCGTTACAAATTTCTGAGATATTAAAGCCAAAGTCGGTTGCATCTAGGAGCAGCTAAATTGCAGCTGTTACAATCGAGAGAAAAACGACACCTACCAAAAATAGGCAATGACTAAGAATGCGTGCGCGTGATAGACGCGAATAGAAATCAGAAAGCGATCGACGAAACCAGATGATACCAATTAAAACGCTTCTGCTTCAGGTATGGCGACGGCGAGTGCATTAGGTGCTTTCGGTTGCTGAGGAGATCGAGGAACGTCATCGAGGTGTTCTCGGAGAACCTGAATAGGTGTTACACCACGATATCAACCGCTTTAGCGTCCTGCGAGGCGCTCAACTCCACGTCTATTTTATATCGTGAGTCTTTTCTGCAATGCTTTCATTGTTCTACTAGTTTCTACTGGAAAAAACGACAGTTTCGATACGATCGACCGTTCGTCGGTGCTATTCTAGAAGAACATTTTCGATGATTTCTCAAAAAGACAAAAGAACTTATCAACGATCGTTCGCACAGGTACCAAAGAGATCGGAAGTGTTCCTATTAGAAACGAATATTGTCCCATCACCGGCCAGTACCATTTCAAGTACAATTTGAACAACGGATCCGAACGCGCCGTCGAGTGCAACAGCTACTCCTCGTCGTTCAACAACTGTCCGGACGGATCGGTGCTGAGGTTGCACTTCAATCGCTGCAGTTTCGAGTTCACGAGTAAGTCGTCGTCTTTCTTTTCTCGTTCGCGGCGGCGACGACGAAATATCCGTGACGAGATTACAAATCGATGTAACGTATCGCCGCGATTCTTTCAGCGAATCTCACGTTCAATTGTTTGGGCAACTGGCCGGGACCGAACGGATCCACCTATTTCGCTCTGTTAGACAACAACGCGATCGGCGAGGACAGGCCTCGGTACAGATGCGGGGTGAGTCGATAGTAATGGTTCGACCGAACGTACAAATAGGATGTCCACGTGTTTCTGTGCTTTGTTCACCCGCGCACCTCTAATCGTTTATAGCTGTTTCATGTTGATAATGTCAAAGGAAAGACGTACATGGCACTTGGCAGCGACTCAAGCTGCAGCCAGAATCTGGACAACTCCACCAGCGGGTACGAGACCTTGGTTCTCAGCAAGGTGCCCAACCAGAAGAAAATGCCGAACTACGTGAAAACGAACGTGGCGACGTAAGTTGATCGACCGGTGCTTCTCGAAATCGTATTATCGGATCAATGCGATTCGATGCGATTCAGTTTTCCTTTTCTTCAGATTTCCAAAGTGGGCCCAAGGTCTGTGGGAAGAGTCGCTCATTGTAAACGGCACGATGACTTTCACCGATTTGAACGGCTATAACAGTTACACTTTCATCACGGTCGACTCGAACGAAGAGACCGGTCGTTACATCGTGTACTCCAAGGATCAATGGTGAGTACCTGAAACGATATAACGCAACGATTGTATTGTGCGCGCGGCACCCTAGTATCGACCTGTTGAATTTTCAGCGAACAAGCGGCTTACTTGTGCCTGATGATGAGACAGCGTAGCGAGAACGTGCTGGAGTTCACGATAGGGATGGTGCTGAACCCTGTTTACCAAACGTACTTGTGCGACGACCCCAATTTGGACAAGCCGGTTTGGATGACACAAGCGAGTCAGTCGAGACACACGATCGATTTGTAACGCGTCCCGTTAATCGCATTTCGTTCTGTACTCATCTATGATCGATGTCGTTCGAAACAGGGGTTGAACGTGCCGTGGAGTCACCTTGTCCGATTACCGGCCAGTACATGGGAATGATCACGGACTTGTCGGGAATGTGCGCCGAATTGAGCAGCAACTGCAACACCCGCGAGATCATGTACTTCAAAGTGACCGACTGCGAGTCCGGAGAACTTTACGAGGGTAAAAACGTTCGATCCGATCCGATCGCGAGCTCCTGCCGAACAAACAAATGCATTTTAATAAGAACGATCGATTTTATTGAATGCAAATTTTAATAAAAAATCGATTCTGTTAAATTTTTATTCTGTTTTTTTAGAACGAACATACTTGTGCTTGGGTCAGTGGGAAGAGAAAGGTGTCATGTACGCGTACACGATGAGAAACGATACTGGTACGAACGAATGCTTCGTTGGATTGATCGTCAACGACGAAGAAATATATATCAAGGAGGCCGGGGATCACTGCATCCGGAACATCGATCCCAAAAAGGAAGGAATGCGTCTCTATAAAAAAGGTAACTTGTGCAGTAGTTCTGCGTATCGATCTGCTGTTATCCATTCGGTATTAATCGTTACGAAATATCTCTGCGATTAGGTCAGTGTTACGGAAACTCCCCCAGTCCAGCGCCAACGCCGATCAAGCCAATTTCTCACAATCCAATCATGAGGATTACGACAACTCCGCGATCTAGGATATCTGGTGCGACTTCATCTTTTCCTTCTCATTTGTTTTTTAATGGCTAGATATTACTTGTTCTACGTGTGTGCGCGCGCGCGCGCGCGCGCGTGTGTGTGTGTGTGTGTACACATCGGCGGATTTCTTTTTCAACGAATGTTTACTTATTTTGCAGAAACTGCTGCTATACCAGGGAACAATATTCCATCTCTGTCGTCGAGTAACGCGAACACGGCCAGCATTTTTCTAATAACGACAACGATAGTAACCATCGTTAAAAGTATTTCTATACAGGTTTGAACAGCCACGGTTCACTGTCCTCGACGATGAACCCAGCAAACTAGCAAATTCAATGTAACCGTGAGGCCCGTGAATGGGATCGGAAAAAATTCAGGTTTCAGTTGGGCCCACCGAATAAGACCTCCAGATATACGGTACGAACGCATCGAGCAACACAAAGACTCTTGCCATCCGTGGTGTTTCTTAGCTATGCATACAATCGTCTTTGTAGATAAATAGTTCTCACACCAAACACTGCCTTGTAAAATACAAGTATTAGGAAATTGAAAACTATATGACGCTAGGAGAATCCAAAGAACTCGACACTCAGTATCCGTTCATTTCAACGCGTCGCCCTCATTTTCCTTAATACTGTATTAAACCTCTCTAGTTGAACTGCCAATGGTACGATTGGTGCGCTGATTACTGCAACAATAGTAACGGTACGATTATATGTAGATACTGTAATGTATGTACAAAAAAAACAACCTAGACGTTTTACCTAGAATTTTCTACTTTTCTACTTTTCTACTTGTCGTATTACACACGCTTCGTACAATAGTACACGGTTGTTTCACGGACAGTCATTTTACACAACATTCAAATGCTTTGCTGATCTTTCTTTTTTTTCATCCCTTTAGTCTCGCTAGCTAAAGACTCGTGCCGATAGAGGATATTAAAACATTTAGAAAGATAACGCAAAGATACGAAATTCAATAAGACAGTTGAGTACACGTTATTATTACTGTTAATCGACAAATGAGACTGACTCTGCTAATTGCGCTCTACGCCGTAGAGTCAATAGGGTAGTTTGCATCAAAGATGTTACTTGAATAACCACTTGACTTTATAACTGTAAGATAAGTACTGTTTTTGATGAGCTATCCAATGCATTAGCAACTATATCGATTTACATTTGAATGCATATAAACTTCTATTGTTACTTACATAGCAAAGAAACAAGACTATTTTATAACGGATTGTCTATTACTATTTAATATCAACCTCTGCAGAGTAACGAATATTTTAAATATATATGTAATACCATATGATAGAAATTTATTTTATGATACACCAATTTTTACAATCGTAGGAAGTAAATTCTAATGTGGATAATTAAGATTACATGTAACTAATTTTCTTTCAAACACTTTTCAAATGTAACGTAGGTTATATGTTACAACGATGAATTTGTACGTTAATGTAAACAAATGTTGTATTTGTGATGCGTATTCGATTGTTCTGTACAATATCGATTGTTCTTTTTTGAGAAATACTTTTACGACTTGCTTTTGTATTTATTCATAAGTGTATATATTTAGATACGTATTTTTAAACTCCATGCTTCTCTTATGAACATGACAATGTAGATAACATTCTCGTTTTCAGTCAGAATCTAATATCTCTTAGGTCGATGTCGAATGCTAATGACTTGTTTTTTACAGTACTTTTACGTAACAATATTATGTAGATTGTTGTCTAAATATAAATAGAAAATACATGAAAGTTGTGCCTAATTGTAAAGAAATTATTCTGTTTTAAAAGATGTTCAAATGTTTTTGTAAGTATGTGTACATATTAATCACCTTATGGTTATTTTATTCATTTCTATCTCAATGGTACAGGACGATAAGACTCAGAAATAATGTCATTCTTGTCTTTCGTAAGACAGGATAGTCTCTTTAAGTTCTGGTCCCCACTTGTACTTATTGCTACCAGACTTTCCTTTGACTCTATGACAAGGTACGAGGTATACAACTTTATTTTTCATTACAGCATTACCAACAGCACGTACAGCCTTCGGATTGTTTATGTTCTGTGCAACTTGCTCGTAAGTAACCGTTGTGGCCTTTGGTATATCGAGTAAGGACTGCCAAACTTTTATTTGAAATTCTGTACCCATCAAAAGTAATGTCAGAGAATTGTTCACGATTGTACCAGAAGGAAAAATTGTCTCCATAATTTGACTCGTTTCGTTATCATTATCTTCAACTAATTCTGATAGAGGCCAACAGCTCTTTAGCTTGGCTAATCCTTTTTCATTGCTGTCATCTACAAACGTTAGAAACGCTACAGCCTTGTCTGTGTCCGTCACGCCAACCAAACATTTTCCAAACGGTGACGAATGAAAACCGTAAATTATTTTAAACTCAGCATGATGTTGTTTATACTCGTCCTGGGTGATAGTTCGCGAACGAACCATCGTGGTATTCCTATCAAAACCTTGCACTTCCCTGGAAACGACGATTAGGAGAGTTCTACAATTTTCGTGGATAAGTAAAGTTTAAAATAATTTATTTTCTTACGTCGAGTCTATCGCATTCGAATGTTTACAATTTCTGTTCCAAACGTTCAAACGTCTTCCAAAGATTCTGACGTTGGCACCATTCAATGCTGAAATTTGCATAAGAAAAATTTAAGCTTCTTTGCGATATGCAAGAATCGAGTACTCTGTACCTATACATACCTTGTTTGTATTACGGCACGTTTTACGAAATGAAGGTCACAAATTCATACGGCGCGTACATTCAAATGATGAAAATGGTACCTATAGAATATAATAAACTGCAAAAGTGAAGAATAATTAAATTTACTTACACCGTAATTTACAATTCCTCGTTGCATATCTTTTGTTTTCCTTGGCAAGTGGTGCGAACGAACTTGTGAAATAATCTAAAGATATGCGTTACTATTAAGTAACAAAATATAAAAAAACTCGTGTTAATTAATAAAGCGTTATACTTCGCTCGCGTTTGTTTCACTTTTTAATACGTTTAAACAATGACCAGTCTAATAAATCAACTAAACATTTGTAAATTCGAAGGAGAATTTAGAAGACCGCGATCTTACTCCCACGATATGGTGCTTAAAATATGAGGCGCGAAAATGGTGGCCTGTGATTGGTCGAAAATTCAAACTGCTTCTGAAACTTTAGAAGGAGCTGGGAAACCGTTACCAGTGCAAGAAAATGACATTTTCCACAACAAATTCCAATCAGGCAAAATCGTATAGAATATCCGATACTGACTCAATGAAATGATTCATTAACTCCGAAATATTAGTTATACGAAGCAATTAGTAAATATCTCAGTGCAAAAGAACGCAATAACGGAATTCCGCCAAAGAGCAATGAAGCAAAACTTTGAACTTACCTATTTCCTATGAAAATGTCGGAATTTTGCCGCAGATAGCACTATCGTACTTCTAATCATGTTGTCGTCGATATTTTATTACGGTCAAGTCACAATATTTAAATTAATTAATTAAACAAGCAAATTAGTGAGCACTCACTCCCGTTAACAGCACGTCCGATCTTTGCGAACTGCCAAGGGAAGACAGATGCACCATGGGAATTCTCCCCTACACACGATAAATCGGCGATTCTGATTGGCTAACGGCGACACCACAAAATAATGGCTGGGTTTACGCGGGAAAAAACATTCAAAAAACTTTAAATTTTATCCAAAATTAAGGGCATGTTATAAATGATCTAACGATCTAATGATAAACGATCTAACAACCGATAATGATAATTATTTGTTGCAAATATCTAGCAAGAGTCAAAATTGTATATCTATATTTGTAAACATTTGTAAAATAATGTTCTGATGAAAATAAATATAGATATAAAATTAAAATGCATACATACGTGCATACATACATACATACATACATACATACATACATACATACATAGCATTATCACGTCATGTTGTCACGTTGTCAGTTCGCCAGTTCGCGCAGTACAGATGTGCATTTATCTTTGTATAGAATTTTCTGTAGCAAATTATTTGATAATATTTGTACATTCATGCTATTCAAATATGTTAAACTTTCTTTTGTTTGAAAATGTATTGTTTCATGCAGAATAACTGTAATTGCCATTCAATAATTGACAGAAAGTAACGTAACCTGAAAGTCATTCTGTCATATTTATTTGATACGTCACATATTTATAATATAGCACTATGATAGAGGCGAAAAAGAAGATAATTCAAAAATTCAATACAGAATTGGGTTCTGATTTGAAAGGATTCGAGAAAATATACGAGTTTCATCAAAATCTTAATATACAGAAAAATGAAATCGAAAAATCGGTAAAAATTCATAAGGTTTTATCTACTTTTAAAAATTCTGTATTGAATAATGTTTAAATTTTAGAATTTACATTTTTAGTTATCAATGGCATCGTCTGAAGCTCCCTCGAAAGTGAAAGTAGTCGTAGAAACTGTTGAAACAATAGGTATTGTCTTTGAACAATTAGAAAAATCTTCTGTGGAATTCAGAAATCACATAAAAAATGCGATGCATGAAACTGATAAAAGTATAGATATGCAAATAATTATTAATACAATAAGTACTTTGGATAAGTCTTTAGCATATTTGAGTTTCATAAAACATGTCGAAAGCATCAGGTAAACTTTCATTTAATTTAGTTATTGGAAGACATTTCATATATTTCATAATTCAATATAACTGCAACAATTTTTGTTTTTAGTGATAAAGTTCAAACATCATTAGCTGCTGGTGATGATGAATCAACTATTTCATTGTACACAAATCTTACAGATATTAATTGTCAATTGCAACTATCATCCTGTCATCATCTTGTGAATTATGTAAGAGAAACACTTCACTTTTGGCACAACCTCATAAAGGATAAGCTATCTAAGTATATTTTCTTATTTTATATACTTTTTTAAATTTATGTATTATACATGTACACACAATTCCTAACAAATGATTTAGTCATTCAAATATAACAATCAAATGTAAGCATTAATTACAAATAGTATCCTTATATATATTATATAATATGCATATAATATATTATTTTAGTATATTGAATTTTTGTTGTAGTACACACATTACTGGGATGTATTGAACCTATTAAAAAGTTCTGTTCATTTTTCAACATGTTTTGAAATTTGGACAGACTTACCAATAGTCCTATTTAATAAAGTGTAATTGTATGATACTTACATATGGAATTTTCAGGGAATACAATGATATATTAAAGGCATTGAAGTGGCCATTTTGTAGCAATAATTCAAATTTGCCCAACACACCCATGGCAGAGACTTTAACAAAATTCAAAATACTTACAGAATATTTGTTGCATTTACAATTACCGTATCCTTCCATTAAATATAATATTTTTGTTTTTATAAAAGCCCTTATATTCTTAAAAGAAACATGTATCAAATCCTTAATATACTATCATAGAGAAGAATCTGTTAAGCCAGTTGTGACTTCAGTGTTGTTAACTGATTTTGCACCAGTCAGTTTACCAATTTCATTGCTTGCACGGCCTCTCAGACAAAGATTTATATATCATTTCACAGGTGCTAAATTAACAAACCGTCAAGACAAACCAGAATGGTTTTTTACTCAAATCTTAACATGGATTAAAAATCATATTCAATGGGTTCAAAAACATGTTCAACCAGTAGCAAATTCGATAGGTTTTAGTCATGTAGATATGAAGGTATTATAGAAATAATAGTACTTTATTATTTTGGTATTTTAATGTCATATAACATGCACATGCAAATTATCTCATTGTAATAGGTAGAATTTATGCAGACCTTGGTTCAACTAGCTGTTGAGAAACTTCATTCTGAATTAAAAATAGTGCAATACGATGATGTTTTATTTGCACATTTGGTGGATGAAGCTTTAGGTTTTGAAAGAGAATTGAGGGAGACATTATTATATCCGCCGACGCAACCAGCCACAGTTTTTGTTCTTACCCAAGCTCATGTTTTTGTGAAGTGGATTAATATGGAGAAAAAATGTAAGAACATAAAATATTCTTTAATGTTTATAATGTACCATGTAACTGTTATCAACATCGGTATACCAAAATATTAGACGCTACTGAGAAAATGGATGCAATTTTAAGTTCAAGTACTGCTTGGGATAAACTATCAAATTCTGATACCGATGATATGAAAGTAACTGAATGTGCAGATGCTTTCCTCACTCTTCTTACAACAATCTCTGATAGATACAAACACTTACCTCAACCAGGACACAGGTAAGTAATGAAAAGAAAATTTACACAATAAATTTATTTTATTCGAAAATGAATCAGAATAAAGAAGCTATGTGTTTAGGCTGCTTTAATTAATATTGCTACGAATATTACTATATGAAATATTGTATTTTCTCAGGTTACAATTTTTGGAGCTACAACTTGAATTAATTGATGATTGGAGAATACGACTACTTCAGTTATTACATGAAACTAACGAAGATCCTTTAACATCTCTCATGCCTTGTATTCTTAATACTTTACACTATGTTGCGACTGTCCTAGAAGAATGGGGTGTTACAGTGGTCAGTACTTAATCAACAATCAAATCCTTTTAATTTACATATTAATAATTTATTTATTTGCAGCATTTTTTGCAACTATATTTTTTTAAGAAACAATTTGAAGCAGTTGAATCTGCAACATTAGAAGGAAGTAATATTGATAATACTGTAGGTGATGTAGAAGGTTCTGTGTTCGATGAAGCTATTGCTCTTTTAAGAAGATTAGAAAAGGAATTAATAAATGAAATTAGCGATGCTGTAGCTTTAGATGTTAAAGCAAAAAGCAGACCTTAT